ATTTATCATCATCATCATCATCATCATTATAGACTTGCTATATATGTTAGCCTAAATCCTGTTCTGAAAAATCACATCTGTGTAAATCTGCCTGTATCACTAGGACAGGCAGATTTTCAATAGCTAAAGAGTTCCTCCTCCTGTATCACAGCTTGTCTAACTCTGTTTTAACCAGCACAACTGTGTTGTGCATGAGCCATACCAGCTCTGTGATAGAAGCAGGAAGTATTTTAATTCTCTAAAATCTCCTCCACCACTTATGCCATTCAGTGAGGGAGATTTTTGGTACTTAGAGAGTTCCTGCTCCTATGCCAGGGTGGGCATGCACAATGACACTGATTGGATGAGCTGCAGGACAGAAGCGGGAACTCTTTAATTACCAAATGTTTCCACTGCTGGTGATAACATCACCCTTTGTTGTAATAGTTCTTGCTGTTGAGCTATCAGGTTGCCTGACCTATGGCGACCCTATGAATGAGTGACGTCATTCATCACTCTTACATAGGAATAGGAATAGGATTTTGGCCATTACATATACAGTGGTGCCTCGCTTGAGGACGTTAATTTGTTCCAGCGAAATCGCTGTAGAGCGAAAACATCATCAAACAAAATAAAAAACCCATTGAAACGCATTGAAACCCGTTCAATGCATTCCAATGGGCTGAATACCTGCTCGTCCAGCGAAGATCCTCCATACGGTGGCCATTTTGGGTGCCTATAAAGCAAGGAAGCGGGGGGCCATTTTCTTCAGCCGGCGGTCATTTTGAAACCCAACGATCAGCTGTTTGCTGATCGTCATAAAGCAAAAATCGGTTCCCGAAGCAGGGAACCAATCATCGCACAGCGAAAAAAACCCATTTAAAACATCATTTTGCGATCGCAAAAATGTCAACATAAAGTGGATTCGTCATAGAGCGGGGTAATTGTCCAGCGGGGCACGACTGTATTAACTTAGTTTAATGCCGTCCAATGGCTTCTGTCCTCACCATTTAGCGAAGTTTCCCCCATCCGGCAGCCATTTTCGCGCCCTCAGTAAGCGAGGGCAGGGCGCGAAAACGCTGCGCGCGGCTGTTTGGGGTCGTGCGGCAGGCATTTTGGAGCCGCCGATCAGCTGATTTCCTGACTTCGCAATGCGAGTTTTGCCCACTGGGGCTGCCGGTATGCCTTCGCATTAGCGATCCCAAAAAAGGGATCGCTATGCGAATTCGTCGTTGTACGGTGCGCTCGTTATGCGAGGCACCACTGTATATGTAATATATATTATCATTAACTGTTGTTATTATATTACAGGAGTCAGTAAAAATACAGTTTTCCACTACTATTATTTGTTATATGGCATCTTATCTGATCTAATAGGTTTTTCAATGTACAAGAGATATTTATGGAGTGGTTTTAACAGTGCCATCATCAATCGCTTGCTAAATTCACAAGACATGGTAACAGCAATAAGAGAACCATCTACAGAGGAGTTTCTAATAAACCAGAGACTACAGAGGTTAAATGATACTTCAAAGTCACATTTGCACACTTTTTAATGTGCAAACCTAAAAGATACTGAGAAACCATAGGCACCAAACTCAATGAATATAGCAATAGCATGGCATACAAGACACAAAGACACACAAGAAATGAGGCATACTATGGTTCAGTGGAAGGATATTAGGTCAGTTCTTAACTATTAAGCCTAGTGCCCTTGAATCAAGGGAAAAATAGAAAAATCTTATGTAAAGAAACTGCTAAGAGTGAAAAAGCATTCTGCCAACCGTATGTTAGATTGTTTTTAGACATGTTAGATTAATTCAAACCAATGCATAATATCAGATATATACTATATAAATTGCTCCTGGTATATATATATACCAGATGTACATATACCTGAACTTCCCTCTGTGTGGGTTCTGTGAAATAATCCTGATGACATCATCAACCAGGGCAATTTTTTAGACACTGAACATTGAACATTTATTCTTCCCATCTCAACCCCCATGGGTTTGTGACAATGAAAGTGATGACTCAGAACCCACAGGGGCTATGGGATGGGCAAGGGGAATCACCAAGAATTGCCATCGCTGGTGATTTTTTGGTAGAGTCCTCTCCCTCCCATCCCACAGCTCCCATGAATTCCCAATGATGAAAGGGATTACTTAGGATCCATGAGGACGAGGGGATGAGAAGAAGGAATGTTTAATTTCCAAAAAAAAATTGCTGCACATGATGACAGCATCACCTTTATACCACAGGACTTTACAAACAGGAATTCAGCTAACACACTTTGAAATAAAAAGCAAAGACAATCATACATGTGGTCTACTCACTCCACCCACAAAGTGTCTCACCTATATATACAGAAGATACTTTGCCTCAGGATTTGTCAGGGTTGTGGCAGGAGTCAAGAGTTGAGGCTGAAATTGTAACCCGTGGTCCCAGGGCCCCTCAATTCCTGGTTGGTCATACCAGAAATTACAATTACCAGCTCTCATGCGTACAAACGCACAGGCAGTCTTTTTTTTCCAGATACAGATGTGTGACCAGTTGGGCTCCACTGCTCTCAAAAGTATTGACATACCCATCACCATTATACTGACACAGGTCTTTATTTCCTGAGAAAAGTGAGAGCACAAAGTGTGGTTGATTGGGAATCAATGCTTAAAATCACCTTGATCTCCTTTAGGTAGTGACACATAGCACCCTTTTAACAACAACTTTCCAGAAGGGCAGGGCAAGTGGGGAGAACAGCAAATTGGGCACTGACATCTAAATACAGCCTGAATGCCTTCAAGCAGCTGAATGTAGCATACCTGCATCCTAATCTTCTGAAGCAGAAAAGGTTGGCAAGTGCATTTTTCTGTCTTTCTTTATTCAGCCCAGCATGGCTACGATCTTTCTACAAGCATCTTAGCAATGAAGCTGCCAACCAATCTTCAATCTTCATTTCAACTTTAGAGCCATGGAGGTTGCAAGATCTGCAAATTACTGCATGGGCAATTCCCACAAAACCTCTGCAGCTTCCAATTTAGGAAGAAACATGGCCACTATGTCACTCTGACCAGAAGCTGGCACTACACTCACTATGACAAGCAGAACTACTCAAGGCTGGCTGGCTCTGCTTCAAGATTCAGACACTTCATAGGACCAGAAACAAATTACCAACATGGAAGAATAACTGGAAGAACTCTGATGGATCAGACCAAAGATCTATGAAGTTCAGCATTTAGCCCACACAGTACATCACCCACAAGCCTACAAGAAGCCCAACAGCAGAACATATGCAACAGTGCTTCCTGTTGATATTTCCCAGAAAACAGCATCCAGTTAGAGGTTCTACTGAACCATCATAACTGTAACTATTGACAATCTTATCCTTCATGAATCTGATTGTGTGTGTTCTGTGCTGTCAAGTTGGAACCAACTTCTAGTGACCGTAATAGGGCTTTCAAGGTAAGTAATTTAAGGAGTGGTTTCACCAGTTTCATTCCCCCAGTGAGTTTCCATGGCTGAGTGGGGATTCTAACCCAGGCCTCCTGAATCCTAGTCTGTCACTCTATCTACTACACTACACTGGGAATCCATGACTGGAGAAGAGTGTGAAGGAGAAATAGGAAAGAGAAAGAAAAAACAGAATGAGCTTTCCCCTCAAATAGAAACGTCGGAGAAAGAGGGGGAGAGAAAGGAAAGGGAATAGAAAGGGAAGACTGTGATTGTGGAAGAAAATGAAGGAAAGGAATCAAAGAGATAAAAGTAGAAATCTGTTTGGTAGAGGGAGGAAAGGGAAAAGAGGAGGAGGAGTTAATTCTACCAGTGTGGGAGGAGGATATAAAGGATCAAGAGAGGAGGAGAGTTTTCAGTATACCGCAGAGAGAGATACAGAAGGATGAAGGAAGGGAGACAGAGAGGAAGGAGGATGAACTCAGATATGGGAAAACGTGCAGACTCCTAGAGGACTTTCCTAACTTAAAAGTAGGAGGATTACTACCAGACCCAGATCTAAAGGAAGAGAAAGTGACAGTAACAGAGACACAAGAATGGACAGTGGTGGTCTTTCCCCGAGGGAAAGATCATTGAAGGAAGGTAATCAGATCTGACCTTCAATCAACCACCACGAGAGGGGGACCGAGCCAGACATCCTTGTTGAATCACCAAATGTTAAAGCAAATAAGCCTGTTAATCTTTCGAAAGAATCTCAGTGGTTATTTCCCCCCAAAAAAAGAGGAACTGCTCCAGTCTTCTAACAAACTCATTAACACTCTGATTAGTCCCCTTTTAAACCCATCTACATTAGTGGCCAATGGTACATCTCACAGAAACTAATTCCACAATTTAAGTATACACAGTAAGAAAAAGTAGTTTGTGTTGTTTATCCTGAATCTCCAGCTACTTAGGTTCACTGGATCAGCAGCAGCCACTAGTATTAAAAATATTAGGCACACAAGTGGCATACTGATTTGGGCCATAATAACGTATTTCCTGACATGACTAACAGGATCTTCCCTCCAGTAATTTACAAAAAAATATACTTTCATAACAGATACACAAACAAATACTTTTAGCTTCTCTATATCTCTTTTACCCCCACTATATATTGATAATGTTGCAGAAAGAGTGAGCTACCTGCACCCCTTAATGTGTTAAAGAACTACAACAAAGAACTATTAGCCCTGCTAGAATGGCCACCAGTCCTAGATGATAAAAGTTGAAGTCTAGCAACATTCTAGTTGCTGTCCACCCCATCTTACATCAAGAACTAAACATCACTATGTGGAAAACATCATTTCTACTTATTTTGCATATACAGTCTAGGAAACCACTGTGGTTTATGATCTATATATTCGTGGCTTCCTACAGTGATTCCTATATATCCAGCAGCAGTGGAACGAAGAAACCATGTGTGAAAAGTCCTAGAATATTGGATATTACAATGAAGCTGTCATTATTTCACTTGAGCAAACACCTCTCTGTGTCAGTTTGGAAAGAGATAAACAAAAAAGGAATACGTTTTTGGCATGAATTTTGCTCTGAACGGAAACTAATAGGAAAGGACATAGCTTTCCAAGCAATATAATATCTAGTTTACAGCACTCACAGGAACTATTAACAAGTACAGGTACTCATAGTAGAGATCCAGAATTTATAACAAAGTTATAAAGACCTAGATGTCCAACAAGATCCATTACAGTAACTTCATGACTGCAGCTGCAGGCACAACATTAATGGAGGTTCACAGGACTGAATAAGAGCATTTTTAAAAGTGAGACTGTGGAATAACAGTTTGCCTTGAGCAACTTTTATTCCACAGTAGGTGAGTAGTTAAAGGTTTCCTTGTCCCATAGTAAGGGACAAGGAAACCTTTAACTACTGATGTATCTTACCAGATCTACACAGATGTATCTTACCAGATCTACACAGAATGGAAGCACTGCAGCTAACCACCAATATTTGCAAGTGAAACATATAATAACAAATTACAACTCCTGAAAAGTATAAAATCCACCAGATCCTATACTCAGATGTTAGGTAGGCACTCCCTTCAACAATCGCCTCCCATGCCCAAGAAAACCAGAAACCCTTTAAAAACCCTTTATTTTTAATTCCTGCAAACCAGAACCATCCTACAATAATGTGCATTTAGAAGACTATATCTCAACATATAAATCCTATTTCTTTAAAAACTAACAACATCACAAGACACTTTAAGAAAAATTAGACAGTCCTCCCCAGCCTTGTCTTCTAATGGTAATGATCCTCTCAAATGTTCAAATCATCAACGCATAAAGAGCTTCCTCCTCGACAGAGAGGAGACGTGGCAACACAGCTGTTGCGCTCAACTTGGCCTTCAAGTGAGAAGCACCGCCTCTCCCTTTTCACCCTCCTTCCTTCCTTCCCTCCCTCCTTCCCTGTACCTGTTGCTCCAGATGCCATACAGCAGCTCCACGAAGGCAAAGGAAAGGTTGAGGCAGAGAAAAAAGAAGAGGTTTCGTGATGTCTTGTCTGAAAGGATTGATCTAGAGAAAAGAAAGAGAGCACAAAAGGAGAGGATGAGAGAGAGAAAGACTAAGAAAAACAGACAGAATATCAAGCTATGATCCCATCTGTTTTTCCTCTCCAAGACAGAGGAAAGCTGCCAAGGACAGAGGATGAAGAAAAGCTAGCTCCGTGTCTCTGTCTGCACACCCACCCACATGGTCTTTGGGCCAACCGCCTCCCACATTTTATCACCACCCCAACATCATCTCTCTCTCTCTCTCTCTCTCTCTGGGGGGGGTGTCTCTCCGGCTTTCAGCAAGGTACCTGTGAGGACCACTTCCTTGACAGAAAGGTTTCAGCCTGCCAAAGCAATGCCACTCACTACTTTCCACAGCCAGCTCTTTTCTGGAGGCATCTGATACACCCATAACTAAGACACAACATATGCACAACACACACATATCTACCAAGCCATGCTCCACCCCACCTCCCCTGACTTATATCCCCCAGCAGGCCAAAAGGAAACCATGCCCCTACCCGCAAAGGCAACCACCCTTTTTTCTTCCACTAGACTCGGGCCATTCAAGCTTCCTCAACCACTTCTCCCACTACATCCGGGGGGAAATCTTCCCACACTACTAGGCCGGCTCCTCTCCTCTAAGACCAGGATCTAACCCTCGACTCCTCTCTCTCTCACACACATACACACACACACAGCGCCTCGCTCACACCAAGACAAGCCAAGCCAAGGCAGGCAGCTGTCCCTCACAGAGAGGCGCCAGCCTGCTCCCTTCCTCCTACCCTGACGCCCTCCTCTTCCCCTGCCCTCGATCAAAAGGGGAGCCGGGCAACTACACTCTCAGTCTCGGCTAGCCACTCCTTCCTCTTCTTCCTCCTCCACCCGCGCCCCTCACCTGAACCACCCCGAGACTTTGCGGAGGAGATTCAGCTTGGGCGGCTTGTACTCATCGTCCTTGATGGACAAAGGCAGCATCTTCCTCAGCGACGGAGGGGGAAAAGGCCGAGTGGGAAGGCTTAGTCCGCCTCGGCCTAGCCCGGCCTGGCTGGCTGGCTGGCGGGGGCGTCAGGGCAGCTATGGGGCCCCCCTCACTCAGCCTCTCGCTTCGGCAGGCAAGCCCGCCCGCGCGCCCGCCACTCCAGAAAAGCCGGCCCTTTTCGCCAGCAGCCACTTCCGGCAAACCCGGACCAATAGGCCTCTAGTGAGCGTGCGCGGGAGGCGGGGCAGAGCGGGTTGCGTCATGAGGGGCATCAATCGGGGACGCGGGGGGGAGGCGGACAGAAGGAGAAAAGAAAATTAGGCTGTCACAGCGCCCCTGGGAGCTGTGGCTTGTGTTTAATGGTGCCGGGGGAAGGGGGTTTTGACTCCCCGAGCGTGTGGTGGCGAATCCAACATTTCCATGCTTTTCTCTGGAATCATGAAAACTAGATGTGAAATTTGACCCGATCCTTATTTAGGGTGGGGGGAGATGGGAAATCGTTATGGGCTTCAGACGTGACGGTGCGATCCCCACTCCGCGTGTTTTCTTTCAAAGGAAGCCACGCTGAATCTGGTGGATTTATTTCCAAGTAAATTTTGAGTGTCCGTGCCTGCTTAAAAGTACAGTATGTCCTATTGTTATGTAGTGGGTTCGACAACAATAAAGAGCCGCAACACAGTAATAATTCCACTCGATTTACTGAAGACTGGGGAACACACACACATATATGTATTAAAAACCCCACCCCTCATTTGGAGGTTCCCAACCCTCCCTGCTCTATTGGCTAATTGCCCAGCGTCTATACTAATTGGGGGAGGGAAAGTTAGCCTCTACAGCTGCTGTCCTAAGGCTCCTACATGTGGCCCCCCTATAGAAATTAATCGCCCACCCCTGTCATAGTCTCTCGAGACTGAAGGATGCCTAAGAAGAAGAAGATGTTCCCGGATAAGTGGGTATAGAGTTGTAGTTTGACGGTTGCCAGCCTTACTAGAGCTAAGAAGGAAGAATAAACGTTTAAATAGCACTGCCCCAAAGCACCCATTCCTTACTGCTGGATGCAGAAGTCTTAGGAGGATTCATTTGGACACACAGTTACCCCTGTAAGATGTAAACAATTATCTGTATATTCAAAACAACAACTTTAAGATCTTAGCAAGACCTGAGAGAGGAAGCTTAGCTTAATAATTATGCACCCATCAAGTCTATTCCAATTTATGGCAACAGCTGCCACAATTTGCTAGACCTGAAGTACTCTCAGGGGATTACCATCCCTTTCTATGTTCAAGCGCTATGTTGCTTGCCCAAAGCTCCACAGGCTGGCTCTTGTCTCAGGCAGCACAGTGGAGAATTGCACTCCCCACCCCTGGCTCTATTCAGCCAGTCTAGACCCCATTGGCTGAAATCCAGTTCTGCAGGGATTTGCTGTCAAAAGATACACTGTTAGCATGACTATGTAACAGGATTTATGCTACATCCATCCTACACATATCAGATTTCTCCCCATTTGGTACTCTTGGTGATAGTGGTCCTAACTGCAGTGCACCACTTAGTTTTAACTTATACGTTATTACCTGTAGCATAACATTCAAAATCCATGTGAGAGTTTGTTATCAGCCTCCACTTTTTGTTCAGATAAACCAGTCACTTTTAGTCCAACATTCAAACTCATATTTATTTCTCTTGTCAACGATGTAACATCTCTCAACGGTTTATTTTGCAACTTCTCCTGCGATACCAATGGGTCTCGCAGAGGCAACCAAGGTCCTGGTACAAAGGGGTCATAACTGGGAACTTCGGCTTTGGTACCTCCTTCTTTCAATAGCGGTAGTGTCTCCTCATCTCCGTCTTCTTCCCATATCGAGTCTCCCTCTCTCATAAAGTGTGCCACAGTCCCAGAGGTGCATCATCCTCTGCGCTTCTTCCACTCGCCATGCCCGACGTGCCTCAGCTTCCCGTTCCACCGCCTCTTCTCTCAATCGCCTCCTCTACTCCTATCCACTCGCCATGCCCGACGTGCCTCGGCTTCCTGTTCCACCGCCTCTTTCTCTTCTCTCAATCACCTCCTCTACTCCTGGGCCTCAGATTCTCCCCAGTACGATGGTCGCTGGGGTAAACCTCGTCTACGGAGGTAGTCTGCCTCTTCCCGAGGCACCTTAACCTTCTCGCATTTCCCAGTCCATGGTCTTCTACCCAGATAAGCTCCCAAACCCCCCCATGTTGTCTAGGTCCCTATTTATAACCCCATTCCCACCTCCACCATGGACCTCCCCTTTTCCTCCTTTCTTATAACCCCATTCCCACCTCCACCATGGACTTCCCCTTTTCCTCCTTTCCCGCCAATTCCTTCTCTGTTTGTGTTGCCACAGTCAGACCCCGCAGACTTGTTTCCAGCTCCCGGGTGGAATGGTCTGTACAAGTCCTGGGTGTCTATCCCCTGGTGTATCTTTCTGGAAGGGGTTGGCGGTGGAATGGTCTGTACAAGTTTGGCTAGCACAGCAAACCTCCTGTTAGGATTGTACTCTCTGAGATTGGTCTGCCCTTCTTTGACCCATACCGCACAGCTCTAAAATAAGGTTTGGCAGTTGCTTTAGGCACATGGTTTGCATGCAAAATGTCCAAGGTTCAGCTATGGCATCTCCCAAAAGGGCTGGGAAAGATGTCTGTATGAATTCCTGGATGGTTCGTGTCTGTGTAGATAATAACATTGAGCTAAAGATATAAGCTGGTTTCCTATACCTGAGAAAATAGATGAAAGCTGAGGCATAGCATATCTGTCCCTCTTTAGGATTGCCTTTATGCCAAATAAATATTCTGTGCAAAATAAAAAATTACTGTCCTAAAGTGCCCTAAATTTATGTTAATCCAATTAATGCACATTCTGCATTTGAGTTGAACACACGGGAAATGTGAAATACAGGGTGCATTTGTATACATATTAACCTGAGTACAAATTTTATTAATTTATACTGTTTTAACTGTCTTGAAATGGCTTAATTGCTTCCATTCATTTTAAATATTACATGTATGTATTTTAATGGGTCGGAGACCGCGAATAAAGATTGATTGATTGATTGATATTAATCTTATATAAAGCCTTGCTAATATGCACAAAATTGCAGTGACAACACAATACTGTATTATGTTCAGTGGGTTTTCTTCAGATGAAATATTACATGTATGTATTTTAATGGGTCGGAGACCGCAAATAAAGATTGATTGATATTAATCTTATATAAAGCCTTGCTAATACACCTATGCACAAAATTGCAGTGACAACACAATATTATGTTCAGTGGGTTTTCTTCAGATGGGCACGCCTATATTTGGAGCTCTGAAAATAACATGTGAAAACAGTCTTAAAGGTCTGGGGAAAATAACATGCTCTTGCTGCATAGTCAAGTTCAGTCTTTTTTGCAGTGTGACTAGTTATTCTGTTCTATGCTGTCAAGCTGGAGCTGATTTATAGTGTGCAGTGTGACTAGTTATTCTGTTCTATGCAGTCAAGCTGGAGCTGACTTATAGTGGCTCTGATAGGGCTTTCAATGTGAGATATTTAAGGAGTGGTTTTACCGGTTCCACTTCCCCAGTGAGGTTCCATGGCTGAGTGGGGATTCGAACCCTGTTCTCCAAAGTCCTCCTAGTCTGTCACTCTATCCCTGACACCACATTTGGAATCCCTCTAGAGGTCCAGAAAAGCTTATGGACAAGGATTTCCAGGACACAAAACAGGAGAGAAGCTTCATTCAAGGCTGTCTTGTTTATTATGACAACGCTTTTTTTGGAGTTTGTGTCCTCAGAGGAATACTGGATAGACTCTAGAGCTTACTTTTGTATGGGTTTAACACAATTATGTTCTTAGCATCACGATTTAGGAAATGGCAGTGAATCCAGAGGATGGCAACATTAGTAAAGAGGTACCTGGAAACATGAGAACAAGTTGAAGGAGTTGTGTGCTTATCCTGAAAAATACACCGGTACCATTAAGTGGTCATCTAACAGCCACCCTCCAATAAGTGAGGTTCTGTCACATGGAACAAACTTGTATTCTGTTGTTTCAGAGAGTAAGACCCAAATCAATGAGATCAAGTTACAAGAAAAAGGATTCAGACCAGCCACCCTTTAGCCTGACCTCAAACTTTACAGTTCCCATCACCATCAGCAAGCACACTCTGTGGCTGGTATGATGGGGTTACAGTCCAATAATATATCTGGAGGGCACTAGTTGGGGAAGCCTGCTTTAGAATAAACGTTAGGAAAAATATCTTGGGAATAGGAATAGAAAATATGAAACTAGTTTACATTGCAGGAGAGAATGTGTGCACAGGAAAGCAACACATTCAGACTATATCTCACTGACAAATGGAGCTCCAGAAGTAAATGGAGGTTTCATTACTGTTCATTTGAAAAACAGTATTTATCTAGGATATGAGTGTCCAAATTTTGCTCACCTGGCTAAATCTGAAAGGAAAGTCACAAATATGTTTGTTCACTGATATTTGTGAGTCAACAGATGTTCTGCAATCCTATATTTAAAAGGCAAAAGAGAATATCTAGTATACATTTTTAAAAGAAAAAGTGAAAATGCAAAACTCTTGTGGCTTTTAGGTGTGTGAAAGTACAGTACATGGATCACATCTGGAGGCAAATGGTTTGCATTTTAAAAGTTGAAACACCTTGGAAACTCGACAGTTGAAATAAAACCTGTTGTGGTTGTTAGCTGTCAGCTTGTGCAGGTCATATTGTGCCACCTTAAAATCCTAACAAATCATGAAAAGCTTATCTGGCCCTGTTCATGGTACAATAATAAAAGGAACTGAAACTGACTTTGGTATAATTATATTTAGCATTCCAGAAATGACACTAGGGCAAAAGTCCTTCACTGCTGTATAAAAAATATGAAGGAAACTCCATTCTGAACAGAGCAGTCTTGGTTTTCTCTTGAACTACTTTTTTATCTCATCGCGACTGGAATTTCGCTCTTAGAAGTTGCCATGGATTAAATAGAAAAAAAAATTGCAGAGGAAGATCAATACACAATCAAGGCAGGACCACCCTCACCAACGACCGGGACCGGAGCAGGAGAACCAACTCGACTCCCAACCGGAAGCACAAAACCACGAAAAGGGAAGAGATCGCTATCCTTGGTACAGCCCTTTTTACGTTCCTCTCGCGTGGCGATGGATGTTTTTGATTGCGGTGGTATCAAGCAGTGCAGATCGGTCGCGGTGCAGATCGCGTTTGAATCCTTTTGAGATCTCCGCGGGGATGGTGTGAAATCGCCCTCGGCCCGCAGCGATCTCGAAGGTAAGGGCAGGATCCGAAGGTGCGCCCGCAGAGTCAGCGGGGAAGGAGAGGCTCATTTACCGTTTGGAAAGGGGAGGCGCGGGTGTATGAATGGGGTGTTTGTCTGTAGGCTTTAAGTCGGAACCGTGGAAGAGGGGGTCGGGGAGAGGAAGCAAACTGCAGATTCACAAAAGGTCTCTGGTTTAAATGATGACGTAGGGAATCCTGTTTCCTGACTCCAGTGGTTATTGGGGGGGGGGGATTCACATTGATCGCGTTGTTGTGTTGCATGTATGTATGTATGTATCTTCTCCTAACCTAGTAAAATCAGGCTCATGGGTCCCAGAGGGTGTCGAGAAGCTCCGTCTCAGCAGCCGCAAGAAGATCCACTGGCTGTTGTTGCGCGAGCATATCTCCCCTTGCCCACAAGCGAAATAATTGGGGTTGCTTGTGATTTGCCATTTAAACTGAAAAGATCTCGATAGCAGAGTTAGATCTCTGTGACTGCAACGCATCGCCCTATGTTTATAATGGCTGTACAATCAATCAAGCAAGCAGTGTAACTGTATGGTTACCTTTTAGAAAGAGGTGCATTTTCGGGTGATGATTTAGCTGCAGCCTCACAAGCATCTGTTTGCACTTTTGAACTTACAGCTGCGCCTCTAGGTCTGAGTCTTAAGAGGCTATGCGACAACTGAAGAGTAGGCCTGATTTATTTGCAGGTAGGTTTGCAGCTTTAGATAGCAAGGTCACAAGGGTATGCAAGGCATGATTCAGATAATTTGGACTTACAGGGGCCCATTTTGGACTGGTGCATCTTGCTCCCAGAGTATGCTGTGGTTGCCAGTTGAAGAGAATAAGCACACCTTAATCATGATTCTAGATATGCTTTGGGAAGATTAAGTTCCACGCAGCCTGGCAAAAAAGATTTCCTATACACATTTGGGTTCAGAGCAGCTGCTTTTGCCTTATCCGATGCACATAAAATTATATAGGTAAGCAGTGGCAAAAGAACAAACTGGCACTTTTACTTGCAATAAAAATACATTTCCACATTCTTGTTGTTGTCAATCCACTTTCAGACACTGAAAGTGTCAGTGAACAGGGGATTACTGGAGATGTTGGCCAAGAAGACTATGAAAAAATAAGTCTATAGCAAGCAGGAATATGCTTTTCAAGGACGAGTGTCTGCATGTTTAAATCCAATCCATTCTGTAGTCTGCCAAAGTGTGCCCTGCCCAAAGTAAGGATTTAACTGTATTTACACAAAGTTGCAGAGGGACAGTAGTTACGGTTGGCACACTAAAGTGTAATAAGCATCATTCAAGAAAACTATGAGAAGCAGTGCTGGAGGTTTTAATAAGGGCTTCCATGAATTTCAAGTATGTTGAGAGAGGGGAAAAAGCACCATGAATAATTCCAGTCAGAATTGGGAAACAGGGCTAATCAAATATGTTATTTTTCATTTCCAAATATTGTTGCTAACAAGTATGCATCTTTGGAAACACAAACCCAGTTTGAGAAATGCAATTTTTTCTGATGTTATCTAATAACAACATTCCATCAAATGTAATTCTGACTTTAATTTTTTAAAATCTTTATTGCATTTTAAAAAAGAAAAAATAAAATTAGGAAATTATTATCCCAATATTACCAGATGACCAAAAACAACATTCCATCAAATGTAATTCTGACTTAAATTTTTTAAATCTTTATTACATTTTTAAAAGAAATGTTAAAAATAAGTAAATAATTATCACAATATTAGCACATAACCAAAATAACTTTTTATTATATCTTTCACAAAACAGTAAATCTTTAACATTTTACTTCCTTATTTTCCACCATACATTTATTTTCTTTGCAATCTTAATACAGTTAATGCCTTTCTTAATTCTTATTTTATATCCATATTAACAATCTACTTTACTTTTTTTTACTTCTGTTGAGAGCAGTTCTGCTATTTTAAGCCTAAGTCACTTGGTAGAGGTTTGGAATCTTTCTTCCATTTCTCTTTAAGATACTTCTTTACTTTCCCCCATTGAGATTCGTGCTGCGTTCTACTCTTTCCTTTCAACAAGTCTATTAGTTTGTCCATTAATATTAGTTCCTGTAATTTTTGAAGGTTCCTCCTTGCCTTTCCGTTGTTTTGCCACTTGAATTCTGGCTGCGCCTAATATGTATAAACAGAATTTTGTCTCTTGTCTTGAATTTAGCTTTACCATATTCAACAAATAAGTTTCAGGTTTCATCTCCATTTTTATTTTTAAATCTATGGTGATTATTTCTTCTATTTCTTTCAAAAATTTCCTAATACATTTACAACCCCACCACATATGATATAGTGTTCCTTTTATTGTCTTACATCTCTAACATTTATCTTTCTCATTTTTCTTCACCCTTGCCAATTTCTCTGGTGTCATATACCATCTATAGAATACTGTATTTTCATATAATTTTCTTTCAAATCTGTAATTAGTAATAGTTTTTGGTTATCATTCCATGCTCTAAACTAATGCTCTGTTTGAATTGTTCTACCTAATTCCTGCATCCATTTTATCATATTTTCTTTAATTACTTCCTGTCCTATATTTCTTTCCAATAATAGTTTATACAGCTTTGCAATTTGGTGATTTTCTTTTCCCCATATTATCTTGTCTAGTTCCATAGGTTCTTTAACCAATTGTCATCGGGTTCCATTTCACATTTTGACAACTCCTCATTTTGCGTGGGAAATATCACAGGAGACGTTTTCCTAACCTTAACAGCTTCATCTTTATTGATTACATGTAGGTCGATATTGTTCATAATTGGGTCATCACAGGAGACGTTTTCTTAACCTTAACAGCTTTATCTTTATTGATTACATGTAGGTCAATATTGTTCATAATTGGGTCAAAAAGGCTTATCTCAGGCAGCATGCCATAACTGTCCAACACAAACCCCCGCCCCAAATCCGTCAAACTCAGGCAACATGCCATAACTGTCCAACGCAAACTCCTGCCGCAAATCACAGGGGTGCTGGGCCAAACTTCTCCGCATCAGTGGGTTTCCGGAGGGGTGCGCTCCTCACCGCACAAATGGTGCGGTAGGGTGCGCTCCTCACTGCACAAATGGTGCAGCAGCATGGGTGCCCGGCCCAGTCTCCCTCAGAGGGAGGTGTGTTGTACCAGGAATCCGGGCAGATCACCTGACGTCCTCTACCTTTGTTCTGTCCTCTACCTTTATTCTTAGGGAAGACTATAACAGACTATTCCAGCGTCTCCTGTCTCACCTCGCCTGCTTCTTTAGGGATAGGGTCAGGTAGCAAGCCCCGTAACTTCAGGTTCGGAAAATCGTGTAACAACTCCTGGGTCTTTAATCTCTAATAGTCCCGCAGCCTCTCCAGTTCCCTCTTACGCTTCCACAACTTCAAACCATCGCTCTCCCTAGCTACTTATACCCTCTTCCCAAACTGATAACTCCTGCTCCTCCCCTTTCTGGCTCCCGCGCTCCTCCACCAGACATATTTCAAGTTTCCTGCTCTCGCTCTGTTCTCGCCCCTCCATGGTCAAGTTCTCCTTTAGGTTCACCTCTGCACCGGCACCTTCTGGCTTTCTTACTCCCTCTCCACCGTCTTTCTCATGAAATGTAACACTCTTTCTGGGACCTCCTTCACACCAATCCTATTAATTTATTATCCATTCTATCGACAGTTTTCTTGCCTGCATTGGTTTTTGCTTGTCCTTTTCTTTCTGCATTTTAACTCTTCCAATCAAATATTTGATATGTTTTCAGTACTTAGTGTTTCCTTTTCTACTTTCTAACCTTTAAAACATATCCACTTCTGTCTCTAATCTTTAACTTCTCTTACCTACTTAATACAGTACTCATTTTGAAACAGAAAGTTAAATACCAATTCAAATACCACCAATGTATGTAAATAAGTTGTAAACCAACAGTCACAATAAATAACATATATTTCTAAGTCTCTAAACCTCTTCAGTTTTTGTTAGTTCCAGCCCTTTCCTCCAGCTGCTAATTCAGATCTTTTTTTCACAGCTGGCATATTGGCCAAGGTTAGTTTAAACAGATCTTTACAGTTCTTTCTTTTAGTTTCTATTGTAATCCACCAAAACTTTTTGAATGTTCCTAGAGACTTTTAAGATAGTCCTTCAAAATCTCAGACTCTTATTATTCATAAACCAATATTATGTCTAGATCTTCAAACCATTAGTTATTCCAGTTTATACTCAGCTTCTTCAGTTCCGCCCCAGGTTGTTTTTCCTTCCATTCCAGCCAATTTTACTCAGTCCTCCTTGTGGTCTTTTATTTTTTCTTTTCATTTCGTATTATTTTCTTGCTCTTAATTTGGTCTTTTCAATCACAAACTCCCATTATGTTATCTTAAAGTTATTTTGTTATTTTCTCTTTTAAAAGTTTCACTCTGCTCTGACAAATCCTCACTTTGCTTCTCACCTTGCTCTGTTCCAAGCCCCCTCCAGTTCTCTTAATTGTTAATTACCGTATTTTTCGCTCCATAAGACGCACCTTTCCATAAGACGCACCAATTTTTAGGAGAAGAAAACAGGAAAATATAATCTGTTTTCTTTGCTCCATAAGACGCACAGACTTTCCACCCCCCTGTTTTGTGGGGGGAAAGTGCGTCTTATGGTGCGAAAAATACGGTAATAGTCCATCGAAAAGGTCTTTACTCGCAGTATGTTTTGCATTCACACACCCATCTCCTCTTTTAAAAATAAAGTGGATAGCATGGCTTGGTTTCCATTGAAAACCACTGGTTCAGCGTTGTGGCTGCCTTGCATAACCTCCTCCCAGATCTGGAAAGTCTGTTTTTCAATTCCCTTTCTTCTATTCACAGATCCCCCCCCCCCGGTCTCTCTGGAGTCAGTCTCTGGAGGTAACTTTGAGTCAGCCAAAAAAATATCTTAGCTGACTTAATCTGAAATCGCCGCAGCTTTGATCCTTGCGATCAGAATCTTGCTGCTTTTGCCAGCCATACCCACCGGTAATTCTGACTTATGGTGACCCCTCCCTGGATTTTCTAGGTACAGAGTATCAGGATTGGTTTAATGTTCCCTTCTTCTGGGGGTATCTTGGGATTGTGTAGCCTGCCCAAGGTCACACACTCTTCTCCTGGGAGACACAGTGGGCAGTCAGAGTCCCAGCCTAATTCCTTAAACTATCCAGCTAGCTGTGATGTTATCTAGTACAGTGTTCCCCAACCTTGGGCCTCCAGATGTTCTTGGACTACAACTCCCAGAAGCCTTCACTGCCAACTCTGCTGGCCAGGATTTCTGGGAGCTGAAGTCCAAGAACATCTGGAGGCCCAAGGTTGGGGACCACTGATCTAGTAGACTGAATACTATAGGAAATAGAAACATTAATCTCAATAATGTACTGTATACAGAAACCTACGGAGCCCCATAAAACCCAAGAACTGTTGGACTCCATTTACCTTTTTTTTAAAGGAAGTATGTTAGTACAGTGGTGCCTCGACTTATGACCGTCTCGATTTACGACCATTTCAAGTTAAGACCAGCTCCGGCCACAAAATTTTGCTTCGACTTGTGACCGGAGCTTTGAGTTACAACCAGAAAAAAGGTGGGGGGGAAAGGCGGGGAATTTAAATTGCTAACCGTTGGTGGTGAAGAGGCTGCTTCTTTGTAGCTCTTTTGTCCCAGCAGTTAGAGAGAGTGTGTTCAGAGTAAGATAAGGTGCTGCTTTCTGCTTTTTAAAAACTGGCTGTTCTGGGTGGATTTTGCAGCATGGGTTTGGGTTGGGTGGTAGGGTTATGTTTCTGTGCTATGATGGGTCTTGCAGGGTATGTTTGTTTTTTGGGGTTTTTTTGCATTTCCAGTGGGTCTTGCAGTCTCCGTTTGCTTTTTGGTGATTTTATTTTTGCATTTCCAATGGGTCGCAGTCTCTGTTTGCTTTTTGGGTTTTTCTTTTCATATTTATGATGGGTCTTGCAGGGTTTGTTTGCTTTTTGGGTTTTTCTTTTTGCATTTCTGATGGGTCTTGCAGTCTCTGTTTGCTTTTTGATTTTCTTTTTTTGCATTTCCGATCGGTTTTGCAGGGTTTGTTTGCTTTTCTGTGTTTTTTTCCTTCGGATTAATTGCATTTCAATGCATTCCTATGGGAAATGGTGTTTTGACTTACGACCATTTAGAGTTACAACCATCACCAATTAAGTTTGTAAGTCGAGGCACCACTGTACACTACTTTAGAGTTCAAATTGGCAATCTCTGTTCCATAATGAGATCTTTGGGATATAACATTTTAAATTAAAACTATCACTATCTAATGTTTTTTCAAAAAATAATTCCAACAATAAAATATTTTGAAAATCTGATTTAAATTCTTAAGAATCAAATGTGTAAATTTTTTTAAATCATAGGTTTTTATCCATTCAGTTCAAGCTCCCTGTGGCAAGAGGAAAACTGCAGTCTCAATAGAGATCATGGAGGAAAGGCTTTCACCTCACTCATGCTTCCATTGGGGTTTGTCTACATAATAATGACAAGGTGGAGATAGGACAAGTTACTTCTTCAGACTCCGGCTCCCAAAATACTCTAGCCACCATGACTGCTGGCCATGCTGACTGAAGAAAAAAAGATGTTTTTTTCTTCACAATCAGGGGGATGGTTAACAGCACTGTATACCTATTAGCAATTTTGCCTGGTAAAATAATCACCCTGCATGTTTCCTTATCTTATAGTGTGTCTATAAAATGTATTACTGTGAATGGCTTTATTTTCCTACAGAGCAAAAGGCTGTCCAACACAAAGTTCTTGAGTACTCTAAACAATACCCCTTCCAGTGCAGGAATGAGGTGAGTTCTCATACCAAATGTGTTTCTCTGCTTAAATGTTCCACTCACAATTTTAATACATTAAGTTATTGACTTTTTTTTCTAATGCCAAGAACAAAATAGGATGTTACCATGGTTTGATTTGCTATTTAATCTTTATAGAGAAATTTGGAGTATATTATTGCATTACAGTTTGCCTGCAGCAACACATTCTCTCTCTCTGTATACAAAAGAGAGAGTGTGTGTGTGTGTGTGTGTAAAGAAAGGAAATAATGTCTTGGAAGGAAATAATTCTGTCTTGAAACCCATAGTTTCTTCTTGTTTGTGAGATGCTGTGACTCTAAAGCTAGTGCAATAAAGCCCAGCATCAAAATAATACCTCAGATTACCTCAGTCCTGCTGTGATAACATCAAGAGTGTGGGTGGGCTTACTTCAGGTAAAATGCTCAAAGGAACAGAGAAACTGGCAGTAATTAGAGCCTTAGTGCACATACTGTGAATGGAAGGTCACCCATGGCAGCAATGTAAATAGCTTTCTGAAGCTCCATTTCCTGTTTTAATTCATACAGTTTCCTGACTGTATCTTCACTTCATGTGTAGTTCTCTATGTGAAAGCTTTCATCGAGTGTTCACAGAAGCTTAGGCTATGTGACAAGGAACCATGACAATATTAATATCTAATAATTTGCAGTACTAGGGAGTATGCATGATTGACCCTGCCTAATGAGGCAACTAGGTGTTATGAAGGGTCAAGCAGATTTTGAGCTATTTATTTCACTCTGTTGTTACCATATTTTTCCTGCCAAAGATAAGGAGTGGTATTTATGAGATTTTCTGCTCCGTCTTCCAAAGAATGTGGGAGTACTATGACTCTTGACTTGGAAGCAAGGGGAGGCCCTGTTTGCTTCTCTGTTTTAGGCAACAAAATGTTTTGGGCTGGCCCTGAGGGCGTGCTAATGAGTATTAAACCTTCACTTGTGTGCTCTTTCTTCCTCCACACATGCATCCCCCAGCTCTTCCCTTTTTTCCTCCTTTCTAAGGACTTCATAAATATTTAGCATGGCATTCACTAAGGGCACCTGTGCTTAAATTTCTCTTCAGCTTTGAACCTGTCTTCAGTCATGGTTTGATTCTCACTGTTTGATCTACATATCTTATACAGTACTGTGCTCCTACACAGATAAACACTTACAGCAAGCATTTCCTAGAAGGAGGGCTTGGTGTCTACAGTGGCTGCATCCTTTATGTCTCTCCTGAATTGAGGGCCTATTCTTGGTTCAGGGTTGCTCCTGAACATGATTTCTGTTGTGCCCAGCCCATACCTGGCATGTTTTATGTATATAGGACTGTTGCTAGTGTCTACTCAGTAAATAAGCTGCCAGAGGGCCTGAGTTGTGGCTGTCCTGATAGCTCGCCGTTTCTCCCCTACTTTCGGTGGTTTGTCTTTCCACCCTCTGTGCTCCTGCCCAGCTGGAGTTCCTTGGAAGCTCTTGGCCTGAATCCGGCTGGTATTTCAAACCAGAAGAGAACCACTGAATCAGTAGAATTCATCCAAATGTTGCCTCACTATTCGGTGGTTGACTTTGTGTGTCCACCTTAGCTGTAACTAGCAAGTGAATGTCAGCTTCTTAGTTTGCTGGCATCAGGTGGGATTCTTGTGGAGGTAATGAGAATATGTATTAAAAACAAGGCAGCAGTGTCCTTAGGCAGGGTGTAGGTAGCTGCCTCAGGTGTGTTTTTTTCCCCTGTTCAGGAAATTGTTTGGGGTTTAAAAAATTGTTTATTGTCAGCTAGAAGGAGAGGCCTTTTTTATCTTTTTGCTTTACGCACAGAAACAACTTGGCTGGCATTAGGTATTGTGAACCCTTACTTGTGTGTTGTGGTTTACATGCCATCGAGTCATGTCCAACTTGTAGTAACCCTATAACTAAGGGACCTCCAAATTGTCCTGCCATGAATAGCCCTCCTCAGTTCTTCTAAACACAAGGCTGTGGTTTCCTTTATAGATTCAGTCCATCTGACGTTTGGTCTACCTCTGTAGAGATTTGGTGTTTTGGTTTCTGCTGCCTTTTTTGAGATGCAACATTACTCCTAAGCCAGTGGCTGGAATATTGTTGAATATTGCTGAACTATTGTTCCATTTCTCTGCCTGCTTTTGAAACTGGGAGCTTTCAGCAGAAGCAGTAGCCATATTGTTGTGCTCTGTTTCCCTATTTGTTGAACCAGTGCAAGGCTTCTTGGATAATTCTGTTCACTTCTTATTAATAAGGCTTAGTAGCAAATACTGTACACTGAACTTCACCGAGGTTAGAAGCCTAGGAGTCCCATCCTCATCTCAGTGCTTTCTCTTTTATCACCTAGACTTTTTCTTTCACATTGCTTCCCTTCTTTTTCACTACCATTATTATGTTTGTTCAGCTTGAATCCAGAGTTAGAAACCATTAGTACCCCCCCCCAGTTCTCTATTTCTTTTCTTCAACTGCCCCAAGGTTTAAGGGTTAAAACACACACACACACACACACACACACACACACACACACACAGAGAGAGAGAGAAGAGAGAGAGAGAGAGAGAGATTTTCTCCTTCAGCTCCAGTGCATAGCTTAATACTGTACTCAGAAGACAAAGTCCCTCTGCCAGCAAGATCAGTTCAGATATTACATATCTAATTATTTAACTGGGGCCCTCAGTGGTCCAGAGGTTCATCTTTTCTAGCCTGTACAGTTTCGAAAATCTGAGCATTTTTAGTGTGTTTTTTTAAAAAATAATTATTAGAATCCCTGAGCCAACATGGCCAGTTGAGATATGTATAATCCACCCAGTACTTAAACTGGGATCTCAGTAGCATCTGTAGAAAATGTTGTGTTTGTAGCTTTCACCATTTCAGAGACCTTTTGGGACAAACACACAAACAAGTCTTTGATTTTATTTATAAGATTCATTTTTTATTATCAAATGCAGGGCAAATGTATGCCAAGAATACAAAAATAGTTGAGGAAAACAACAACAAATGTTCCTGAGTCTTCTGATATTTCTGAATTACTTATGTGTTTAACAGGGACTTTAAAATGTAGTCAACTCCAAGTTAATTGGACATAAAAATGACTTAAGACATTTCTGGATTTTGGGACTTTACCCAAGGAAACTAGGCCTTTTATTCATTCTTAATTAGTTCCTACTTCCCATATCCATATGATTTCAGGGAATTGCCTTTTTTTAAAAAAAAAATGTTGATGTAGACAAGAAATTTGAACCATAGTACCTCAGATGAGTCTGTTTCTTTTTGGACCCTTAACAAATTTGTTGTTGTTTAGTTGTGTCCGACTCTTCATGACTCCATGGACCAGAGAATGCCAGGCCCGCCTGTCTTCCACTGCCTCCCAGAGTTTGGTCAAATTCATGTTGGTAGCTTCAGTGACACTGTCCATCCATCTCATCCTCTGTTGTCCCCTTCTCCTCTTGCCTTCACACTTTCCCAACATCAGGGTCTTTTCCTTAACAAATACATGACGCTAATTAGCTTCTCGTCAAGTGCTATTCCCCATACTCAGTCATACCATTTGTTAAGGAACAAACCCATGTGTGTTTTCCATAGTTGTGGAATACCACATTTAGTTGCCACTAGCAAAATACTTTTTCCACTTCTTGGTCTAACCAGAGAACAGGAATGCCTCTGTAAAGCTTCCAGTACAAATCATCGATGAATCACGTAAATCTAGTTAAATATCTATATTGTTTTCTATCTCCTTTGAAGATCATTTGTTTTCTCCAGTAACATACTCATTTTTTAATTTACCTCTTTGATTGGATTGCTATGTATATAATTGGTTTTAAATTAAGTAGAAATTTAAGGGGAAATTGGCAATTTCAGCTGAGGCTCTCCCTTTGCAGACTCCATGAACAGACTCAAAGCACTGAAGTCTGTTAACACCAGAATACACTTCTGGAATTTGTTCAGCCTATAGTTGCTTATAATGCACTAGTTACCACTCTTTGTTATGAGCAGCTGCTCTTGAACTCTCAAAGCTATCAGTTAAATATTTTTACTGTACTTTTTCCAAACTTTTGAATGCTAGTGAGCTCCTTTGGAGTCCATGTACAGTCTCCCTTGCCATCTCCAAACAACATTTGTTTAAAATATGTTTACCCCACCTTTCTCATTAAAAGCAGCTTACATCATTAAAAGATAACATTGAAAGCTAACAATGCTGAGTATGCAAATACCTGAAAAACTCAAATGAATGCTATACTTAAAAAACATAAGCAACATCAAAACACATTCAGAACAATAAGGTATAACAGTCCATTTAAAAACCCTACTGAGGCAGCCAGTCACTAAAGGAAATTGCGCCTGAAGAGAAAGGTCTTTGCCAGCCTAGCCTCCTGTGGGAGGGAGTTCCAGAGTTCCGGATAATATGAATCTTCATGAATACCCATGCCTTGTGTAAATACATGGGGCTTGGCCATCTAATGTTACTTGAAGAAGTAGTATTTTCTGACTGCTAATCTAAAGGCTCCAATTCAGTTTCTGGTCTCAAGGACTTTGCTCTGGACAGTCCAGATTTAAATATAGCCAGCCTCACCATCAAAATGGATGTCATTATCTCCTAGCTATTCCTTCTGAGCCTCCTAGCTCATCCTCAATGTTGGAAGGCTAAGCTGTGTATAGTCCACACTCCATCCTGAGGCCTGTGTTGCCTGAAGCATGACAAGGATGGAATCTTCATCACCAGTCATAAAGGAAGAAACAACTGCTTGTCAGTATAGTTGGCGTCTCTATGTGGGGCAGGTAAAAGGCACTATCTTTTCTTCAGGCAGGAAATTATCTTGGGTTGTCCCCAGCAGGATCAAGCTCTTTCTGAGGATTTTGTCATTAGTAGGTCATATTCTAGATGATTTTTTTAAATGAATTAATAAATAAATGCATTTCCCCTTTTTTCCTTCTTCTTTCCCCTCCTATTTTTAAAAAAAGGATTCATTCAAAATATGGTGTTAAAAGAAAGCTTTATAGATACCATTGCCAGAAAAAAGAAAAAGATAATGTTGCTAGGTTAAATTAAGCCTGAATTCTCCCTAGAAGCAAATAAATGACTAAACTGAAACTGTCATTTCAGAAAATTCAGCTGCTTCAAAATGCTGCAGCCAGGTTGCTGACTAAAGCTGGCTAAAGGGAATCATATAACATATTGATCATATTACAACAGTTTAACTGGCTGCCAATCCATTGCTGGGCCAAATTCAAAGTGCTGGTTATAAAGCCTTTTATGGGTCCAGGCTATTTGAAGGATCATATCTCCCCATATAATCCCCTACTTTCAGAAATCTTCAGGGGTGGGCCTTCTCTTGGTCCTGCTAACATTGTAAGCATGTTTGGTGGGGACTCAAGAGCATTATCAGGCTGCTCCCAATCTGTGGAATTCCCTTCCGCATGAGGCTAGGTTGGGTTGCTGTCTTTCTGCCAACAAGTGAAAATCTTCCTTTTTGAACTGCCTTTTGATATGTGAATGCCCCAGTAGAACTGGAGTTCTTAGTAAGAGGGTGCACCATATTTTTATAATATGTTTTAATTGTTTTAACTAGTATGTTTTTAATACTGTTTAGGTTTAATTATATTTTAATACAAATATCTACATTTATTGTGACTTTAAACATGTGCATTTTTTGCCATTGTATGCTGCCTTGATTCCTGTCACAAAGAGGAGAGTGGAACACAAACAAAATAAATAATCAAACTAGACCTTTAGTTCATGATGAGAAGACCAGATTCACTGGCAAAAATGCTAGGAAAAACTGAAGGCAGCAAGAAAAGAGGAAGTTCAAATACAAGATGGATTGACTCTGTAAAGGAAGCCACTGCCTTGAGTTTACAAGATCTAAAGCAGGGCTGTTAATGATGGGAAGTTTTGGGTCAGCATAAGTTGGAAGCAACACAGATGGTAGATGACAACAAAAAACTCTAAGATTCTGAGGAAGGGATGGTCATAAGTTGGAAGCAACACAGATGGTAGATCACAACAAAAAACTCTTATCTAAGATTCTGAGGAAGGGATGGCGGCGGCGGGGCTTTCTGTACAGTATTTGGTGTTATTGAACATTCAGTGATGCTAATATGCATTTTATTATCTTTTGCAAATTCTTGCATAGATATGAAGAACGACTGAAAGAACTGGGCATGTTTAGCCTTAAGAAAAGAAGACTCGGGGGAGATAGGATAGTCATAGAGGAGGGGCAGGATCTGTTCTTGATCATCCCAGAGTGCAAGACACCTAATAATGGGTTCAAGCTTCAAGAAGCCACATTTAGGCTGAATATTAGGGGAAACGTCTTAACTGTTATGCAAGGGAATCAATTACTTCGGGAGGTGGTGAGAGCTCCAACACTGGAGGCATTCGAGAAAACATTGGACAACCATCTGTCAGATTTTCTTTGATTTGGATTCCTGCATTGAGCAGGGGGTTGGACCCGATGGCCTTATAGGCCCCTTCCAACTCAACTCTTTTATGATTCTATGATTTGGCAAATCCCATTTGATACTAATAAGCCTTTGTTGGCTGATATTAATGTTGTGCTTTGCAAGATATGGCTGACTGATTTCTCCTCTTCCCCTTTTTCTAAAAATAATACTGAAGGTTTTATAACACCTGCAAACTGCCTGGAAGAATTATGGGGATCCGGCTGCTTCACTTCTCTTCAGTAGTGATCCTTCTGTTGCTCCTGGTGGCGGGTGCATTAACGGCTTTGCTGCCCAATATTAAGGAAGACAAAATGCTTACCCTGCGAAGGGAAAGAAAATCCCAGAGTCAGGTTGCCTCGGATGCATTTACGCTCATTATGCAGACATACAACAGAACCGACTTACTCCTGAAGCTTCTGAATCATTATCAGGCTGTTCCTCATTTGCACAAAGTGATTGTTGTGTGGAATAACATTGGAGAGAAGGCACCCGAGGAAATCTGGAACTCCCTGGGACCTCATCCCGTTCCAGTTATCTTCAAAGGGCAAACAGTCAATCGCATGAGGAACAGACTGCAGGTTTTCCCTGAGTTGGAAACCAAAGGTAAGGGCTTTCTCTATCCTCCACCCAACATGTATCATTACCATTTATACAACATTGCAGTGGTGGCTCGCAAGACGATTGCATTGTGGGATGAAAAACCCGCAAGACGATTGGTTTTTGTGATCACTTTGGTGCCTCGCAAGACATTTTTTTCTATGACTGTGCTTGGCAAGACTTTTTTTTAAAAGACCAATGCTTCGCAAGACTTTTTTTTAAAAAAGACTGACACATAGGGAACCTTGCAAGATTATTTTTTCACAAGACGAGGATTTTCGCGGAACAAATTAAAATTGTCTTGCGAGGCACCACTGTATTTCCATTTAGCTAGGAAGGAGTTATACTTGATTACTCATTGTATTAATTGATGACTGCACCTTCAAGTAGCAACTTTCATGGGCAAATGAACCATCACAGATCAAATAGATCTAATATTCTGCTAGAGACAGAATATTATTTTTACCCCATGTCCTGACAAAACTAGGGAGACTGCTTAAGTTTGTGATCAGTTGTCTCTGAAGACATAAAGCTTGCCCATTTTCTTGCGCTCACTTTCATTATGAAATGAATGCCATACCTCCGTAAATTTCGGCTCTGTTTCATAATTTAAATAGTTTCTCTTTCCTGGCTGCTTGTAGCTGCAGGCACAGTGTGGCAAAGCCTCGTACTATGTATCCTGGCACATATAGCTTCCAAGGTATTTCCCTAGTTTCTGAGACTGCAGTCGTCAAGATGTTAGCTAGGAATGGAGGACTCTCAGAGAAGGCTCTGATGAAGCCTCCCTATTACTACCACCAATCAGTAATGCCAATGGGCTCAGAGGGTGTTAAATGTCAGGGCTTAAAAGTGAGATTAGAGGTGGCATTTGGATCCTGTCAGACTCTCAAAAAGAATACTGCTTACAAATTTTGGACCTTGCTTGCACAGGCTCGAACAACCCACTGTTTTCTGGAGAACAGTTCAAGTTCCTGAGCTAAGTTGCAGCTCAAACTGGGGAAAAGCTTCCCACCCCAACTAAAAGGTCCTGGGCTTCTTTTCTTTCTACAGCAGAGTGTTTGCATATTCAGCTATGAACTGAAGAATTATCAGTCATCTTTTTTAAAAATCCGTGAGAGACCCCAGTCACCCTCCTTCTCCTCTGAGTAGTATTCCTCTACCATGAACCATCCTGACCTATTCACAACACCATTGCTTCTTTCTGCTCCCTTCTTCTGTTTTGACAGCCGCGGCCAATCTTATTTTCACTTGCTTGAAACTCAGATCGTGAGGAATGTTGGGTGCTTTAGATATTTTGGACTGCAGTTGCCATAATATTGTCCATGCTCTCTGTGATTTCTAGCAGCTGAAGTCCCAAGCAGTTTGAAGATGCAGGATCCCTACCCCACTCTATAACTTCTGGTTTCAGCTAACCCGTTACTCCTGACCTTCAGTTCAGTCTATGATTCCCCCAGAGGTGTGGTTGTTTCCATCCCCAATGTATTCAACTGCAGTACAAGGTTGTAGTTGAAATATTTGCGAAGGCTTTCACGGCCGGGATCTAATGATTGTTCTGGGTTTTTCGGGCTCTTTGGTCATGTTCTGAAGGTTGTTCTTCCTGACTTTTCGCCAGTCTCTGTGGCCGGGGGGCTCCCAGGGCAGCAGACCGACAGAATTTTAGCTCCTGTCCTCTGAAGATGCCGGCCACAAAGACGAAACGTGAGGAAGAACAACCTTTGGAACACGGCCAAAGAGCCCAAAAAAACCAGAACAACCATTGTAGTTGAAATCTTAAATGCCATTATTGAGATGACAAAAGAATCAGAAGCCTCTTTAACGCCACCTAAGTGTACTGTATAATGTACACCACAGTTTATTTTAGCCACTCCTCTTCATATTGAGGAAATACTCTAGAGCTGCACTTAACCTACTCACCATTTGGAGTTCACCTTGTTTTTGCTCACACCTTTCAAACCAAATCTGTAACATCCGATAGGTTTTAAAAAGAAGAATTCTGAAAACCCTCTTTGAACAGCAGTTATGCCTGAGTGAATTTAACAAAGCATATTTTGAGGTTTCCATAAATTGTTCATCTCTTGCAGTTGGACTCTGTCTTCCAGCAAGAGCATCTACAGGGAATGTTGTTCCAATCTGTCATATGTCTTTTGCTCAGTAATGCCTTTTTAAATGTGTTTACTCATCAAAATGCATTTTTCTCTGTTCAGCTGTTTTGATGATGGATGATGATACCCTAGTTAGTGCCTACGACCTAGTTTTCGCGTTCTCCATTTGGCAGGTAATGTCTGCATTCAGCTTGGCTCACCGTATTTGGTTCAATATCATGTGTATCTGAGTTGTGTACTATTCTTGTAAAGCTGTAACTCTCTTCATACTTACAGGAGAAGTCCCAGTGAATACAGTTTCTTAACCTATTTCTTAACAAAAATAGGTATTATTTTTCAAAGGAGATAAAGACAAGGTTGGAGGATTCTGAGGGTTATAATGCAAAAAAGGTAACTTCTCCAAACTCTGTTTGTGTAGACATCCTTCAGTCTTGAGAGACTATGGTAACATGCTCTGAATAGTTGCACCTTGTATTAAATACTTAAACTCTGTTTAAAACAAAGAAGAGACTATAGTAATGTGCTCTGAATAGTTGCACCATAAAGCATAGAAATGCCAAAATAGCATAGTCACAAGTTCTTATGGTAATGCAGCGATCTTTGAATGTCTGTGTAATAACACTCTTATTGACATAGAAGATCGTACAGTAAAGAAGAATCTCCCCACTTCTATGACCTGTACTGTCATAACTGTCAGCCTTGACCGGCAACAAGTCTAACATTCTTGAGGTTCTGAGGCAAGCATTTAAAATAGGCCTTAGTCATAAAGAGAGGAATGTATACTGTACATCACTGGTTTGGGGCTACATTTTAGTAGTTAAAAATTAGTATTCTTCGGTTGCAACTGCAGAGTCAGTATTCTTGATTCAAATTTTTGGTGTGGTAGGTTTTCATAGATCCAATATGTGAATCAGAATCTCTTCTATCTGGCCAATAGTCTGTAAAGCACTCCCTTTACCCAGAGACGTGGTGGCGCTGTGGGTTAAATTGCAGAAGCCTCTGTGCTGCAAGGTCAGAAGACCAGCAGTCGTGAGATCAAATCCACATGACGAAGTGAGCTCCCGTTGCTTATCCCAGCTCCTGCTAACCTAGCAGTCTGAAAGCATGCAAATGCAAGTAGATAAATAGGTACCACCACGGTGGGAAGGTAACAGCATTCCGTGTCTAGGTACCCTGGCCACGTGACCACGGAAAACTGTCTACGGACAAAACACTGGCTCTACAGCTTGGAGACGGGGATGAGCACCGCGCCCTAGAGTCGGACAAGACTGGACTAAATCTCAAGGGGAACATTTACCCTTACTTTACCCATTAGGAAATATAGCCATTAGGATGTTTTAATTGCATAAATTTATGTAAATTCATTTTCTTTTGATTCTACATGCAAGCAGCGAACAGGACAGTTTACACAGTGTACAGTTTGTGCAGTCATTGTGGAGCCCTCTGTAGTTATGATCATGTTCATAAATGACATTTATGTTTTTCTTTTCTTACAGCAATTTCCAGATCAGATAGTGGGGTTTGTTCCTAGAAAGCATCTACCTAGCCCGTCAGGAATATACAGCTATGGCAGCTTTGAACTGCAGAGTCCTAGCACTGGCAATGGAGACCAGTATTCTATGGTCCTCATTGGAGCAGCCTTCTTCAACAGTGAATATCTTGAACTCTTTCAAAAGCAGCCGGAAGCCGTGCACGCCATGATAGATGAGACGCAAAATTGTGATGATATTGCCATGAATTTCTTAGTGGCTAAACATACTGGGAAGGCTTCAGGCATGTTCGTGAAGCCAGTGGACCTCAGGAATTTAGAAAAAGAGAGTAACACTGGCTATTCGGGAATGTGGCATCGACCAGAACACTTGCTGCAGAGGTCTTACTGCCTCAATAAATTGGTTAGTATCTATGGCAACATGCCATTAAAATACTCTAACATTATGATTTCCCAATTTGGCTTCCCAAACTATGCTAATCACAAGAGTAAAATGTAAGAAGGTGCTGCAAGGCAGTGCTTTCGCCTGCGACTCGGCAATTCAAATGGCAAAGTAGGGAAGGGAGTACTAAGGGATTTGTAGGTGGCACATTATTTGAAATATGCTTCTGCAAAAAAAAAAAAAACAATTTGGGGATCCAAGTTCTGGGTAAAGCGTTCCATCTCTGTGCTCAACATGCAAAAGCTTCTTTGGTTGGCTTTGTCATTTATCCCTGTTTCGGTCAGATACTCCCATTCTTGCACAAGGATGGAAGTATCCCACAAAATTCAGGTGCATTCACATGATGAGTATTGATAGTACATCTCCAGCAGGTTGTAAGCCCAGATAAATGTTTATTAGTGCCCCCAACCCATCCATATATGAGTATATATTGATGTCAGTTGTTTTTGACCAGTTAAGAAATTTTCCCCAGCCATCCTTACATCATCACAGTCAAGATGGTCTACAGTTCTTTTCAAGCCTACACATGACACTTGGTTAGTAATGCCCTGTGTCACGCTAGTGTCTTTCCTTAATTTAACCCATTGGAAATATGCAATGAAATATTTCTGGGGCGTTCTTTCCCATTTGGGGTAGCTTTGCAGCCCGTTAGTTCTCCCTCCCCCCAGTATAAGAAGAAATAAACAGAACCACCAGATATTCAGAGCAAATGGGCATACCTTTTGATTTGTACATATATGAAGAGTCTGCCTTGCACTTCCTTGAATATATTTATTTTAGCAATTATTGTTTGCATTTGAAAGAGTTTTACTGTATCTGTCAGACCAAAAGTTACAGGAAGTTGCTTGCTGAGTCTTCCTTCTCTCCTTTTTTGGCATAAACATTAAACGTCCAAGCTGGCACAATGTGTATTTGTACTTATGCTGTTTTTCAATCTGGCCTGCCATCCCCACATGCAGCCCCACTCTTTTCCAGCCCTCAGAGCTGCCTTCCAGGAAATACAGTTCTGGTTTTTTAAAAGAGTTAGCATGAAGGGTTTTGAAAGCAGATGTGGGCTTCCAGGCAGTTCTGGTTTCAGTGGGAAGCTGGCTTTTGGGGTGGAAAACTGGTCCCTGGGCCTTCCAACATTGCACTCCGCTGCCATAAAGCAAGCTTTGGAGATGGCGGTACAACTCACAGAGGAAGCAGGAGGGCAATGCCACAGCAGTCTGGGTCTCAGTTTTCGTCATAGTCTGTTTATTCTGTGTATTCAAGGACTGCAATCAGGTACCCAGTTACCTGCATTCCACATGGAGCCAAAGCCTGAGATCAAGGAAACCCATACTACACTTATTCCCGTATTTATTTATTTAGCATTGGTATATTTCGCAGAACACATTTTAATACCTACCATACTGGGAGACAGTCTTGTCAATCAGAGGCAGTCTGCCAGGATTAAAAACAAGTGTGCATCTAGCTGTGCACACAGATATATCTTGATCTGAGCAGCAGGATTAGGTGTGCACAACAGTGTAGGGTTGCAGCTCATTTCTAGAGTGGCTCAGCTGTAGTGGTGACATGATATAGATGTCAGTGGCATGATTTAATCTACAAAACCTACTTCCCTGGCCAATACAGGGCATATCAGCCATGTGGGCTGTGAAGACAGGGACTTACAACAAACATTTATCACGCTGAAATCAAACTGGAATAGAACTGTGCTTCTTTGCTTGGTGTCAGAAGTGTGCCCTTGTTCAGCATCTTGTAAATATCTGAAATTGTTGGCTGATTCCTGCCTTCAGAAAAATAACTATTACTTAATGCTTAGCTCTAAAACAGGAGCTATGCTACCTTTATATTAAGGTGCCATATTTCCTACTTACATTCCTTCAACTAAGTTTATTTGTATGTCTTGGTTTGGTTTGGTTTTTCCTGTATTCCGTTCAAGAAATAAGCTAAGAACACACTGAAGGACTGAAATTGTTGGTTTAAATATTAAGCAGCAACTACAGATGTGGCTGCCTAGTGCAGTAGCCGTTTACTCAGAATTTATTTTTTCCTAAAGTTTTGTGTATTTTGTTCTTTTCCAGTCATAAGCTATTAGGAGGTTGGTTTCTTTATTGTTGTTTTCTAACTGAAAACCTAATAAAGATGTGTAATTATGACATGTCATGTGGTTATTGAATAATGGGAGCTGTATTAGAATGAAAACAGATTAACGCCTTTCCTTGTGTATATGTTCTAATAAAATTCCACATAATTCAGTAGGACCACTTCCCAAGGAAATGAGGGATATCTTTAACCTACAACTCTGCAGCCTGATCAGAGACCAACAGAATTTGATTTAGGCCCTGATTCATCAGTTCTGAAGACTGTTATTTATGTATATATTGATTGATTGGAATTTTTTATACCACCCATCTAGTAGCTTGCCATTACTTTGGGCAGTTAACACACATAAAAGCACCCAACCCATTGTCTATCAAATCTATAATGTAGAAAGCAGCCCAAAAGAGCCCCCAGTGGCAACAGCAGCCAAAAGATAAAATTAAAAATGTAACAGAGACATAGTAAGCTATTGTGAGGGGAGGATATCCTGAAAAGCTTCTCTGAAAAGATGTGTTTTACTAGTTGTTGGAATGATAGGAGGGAGGGGGCCTGGCACTGGCCTTTGAACTGTTTCAGAGCCTGCTTAGTTAAACTTTGGTGCTGGACAATCTGTGTACTGTACACCGAAATGTAGACATCCAAATATTTGTGCTTCCCACTAGCTGCTGAAACTGAACATACAGTAGTACTTCTGTGGCTGGCAGACAAGCAGATGCCGGGAGTGGAGGAAACGAGTAGTTGCAGGGACAAGTAGGCAGGGGCCAAAGGTAAGTAACACAACATTTGCCAAGTGGCCATAGTCTCCTTGATGGCAAGTGGGAACCCCACACATGGGCAGCAAAAAGTGGGTTATCTATGCCGCTAAGTGGGCAGATGGCAGAGGCAAGCCCTGGTAGTAGTGGCTAGCCAAGCAAGGAGGTAGATGGTGCAGAAGGCAGGCCTGCAAAAACTGGCAGACAAGCTCTAACGAAGTAGCACTCAAGAGTTTTGCCAGACGGACTCAGACACCTTGATTGCAAGTGGGATCACTGGCCAGATAGGCGGGGTAAAAACACAATAAATAAATAAATAAATCACTATGCTTAGGAGGAGAAGGTGTGCAAGAGGTCCTGGCTATAGTCTCTTCAGCAAAAGAGCAGCTCAGCTGGCAATCAGGAGGCAAAAGCTGCCAGAAGGAAGTGCTGGTGTTGGAGGACTTTTGCAGGCCAACCTCTTAATGAGCGTGAAAGAGAAGAGTGCAACAAATGGTCTGAAGCTCAACATCCAAAAAAAAAAAAAAAAGATCATGGCCACTGGTCCCATCCCTTCATGGCAAATAGAAGGGGAAGATATGGAGGCAGTGAGGAAACCCTATGAGGAAAGATTGAAAGAACTGGACATGCATAGCCTTGAGAAAAGAAGACTGAGGGGAGATACACCACTTTCCAAATACTTGGAAGATTGTATGACATGTACATGTACTGTAAACCCATGTAAACGAGGAAAGCCTCCTGCCCATAGTACCATAAGAACCCTGACATTTTTGAGGTAAAGTGTCCCCCCCTTCCACTCAAACCATGGTCGGTCAGGGGTACCAGGCGAGGAAAAGGTGAATAATGATTGTCATACAGAGGAGAGGCAGGATCTGTTTTTAACCATCCCAGAGTACAAGATACATAACAGCAGGCTGAAGATACAGGAAGCCAGATTTCAGTTGAATATTAGGAAAGTTTTACTGTTAGAGCAGCACAACAGAACCAATTACCTCAGGAGATTGTGAGTGCTCCAATACAGAGGGCATAGAAGAGAAAATTGGATAACCAGCTGTCAAATATACTTTGATCTGGATTCCTGCACTGAGCAGGAGATTGGATTCAGTGGCCTTATAGGCCCCTTCAAATTCCATTATTCTACAGTTTTATTATCTGTTTGTTTTTTAAGATAGTTTTATAGGTCAACCCAAAGACTGCTTGCAAGTAAATTGGGGCTTACACTGGCTCATTTGAATAACCACAGGACTGCAACTTCAAAATACTGTTTTCCGGCAGATCAATATATACTTTTAAAATCCACATATGATGACTTTATAAGTCATCATCTACAAGAAGTGTGCCCCCCATACACCTATGTACAGTCTCATTTTTCACTAAAATACTTTAAAACTGTTTGGGCTGCTTCCTTTGGTTTAATTCCATCTATGGCTCCCAGTCTTAACCTCCCCTTCACTATTGTGGCATTCACCATAGAGTTAGACCCCACATTAATTTGTAGGCTTTGTGCTTGTGCTACCAAAGAAATCCCCAAATGGTAAACTTGACACCACCACTGCTACACAACCAATTTCCATGCCCGTCTAGTCAAGCTCTGGAATTACTTTTGGTAGTTGCAATGTCAAAACATGGACTCTCTGAACTTCCTCACTGGTCCAGCTAAAGGATATGAACGTTACAAGGGCCTGGACCTTTGTGCCATTCTTCTGACAGAAGCATTCCATCAACAGAGAGGGTCACTTTCCCCCCACATCTCCCCACCCCACCCAGTCTTCAAACTCTGCTCCATAGATCTGGGAATCCCTCTAAAGTAAATTTGTCAATGAGATGAAGGAATGCAGGAGGGAGAAAGGAAAGGTCTTATTGTGCTGTTATCCTTACCGTAAGTATACTCTGTTGGCTTCAAGCCAGCATGATATGGAAAGACAAGCGCCTTACCGAGTTTCTTTCAAAAGCTTTAGTTACAAGGTTAAAAAGTTACAAACAATAGGATTCAAACTGAGTAAACTTCTGCTTGCTAATTTAAGGATTTAAGGTTCCGTATCAGCCAGACAAGTCCGGTAGAAAGGGCTACTTGTGCAGGCTTCAATGGGTTAAGAGGAGTTTCATTGCTGTTTGCAGTCAAAGCTTAAATACATATTTTTAAAAAATTATTCCACATACAAATAAAGGCAAATGACAAGCTGGTGTGAAGTGGAATATTTATGATGGTATACAGTAATTGTGAATGCCTGTACACTTTTGTAAATAGCTCTGATGATGCTGTTGGATTGCAACTCTAACCAGCACTACTAAGCATAGGCAATGGTAAGGGGAAAATGGGAGCTGCAGTCCATTAACATCTGGAGGGCTTCAAGTTGCTCACCTTGCCTTACAGTTGCACAATGACACAGACAGGTGCTTTAGGGTCACAGATTTCTATCTGATGATGGCAGACTTCAGGATGACAGTCATGAGCTTTAGTCGCCAACTATGGGTAATTCTATAAAACCCTTCCAGGCAGGTTCCGCCCATGCAGGGACATCATTCTTGCAAGGAAAAGTCTTCATCACTCTGGGAGAACTCTCAAGCTTCCTACATTCAACCTGGTAAACCATTAACATATTCGACTGCAACCCACCTCAATGCTGGCACCTTCCTAATGTGTGGGCACGCACACACACTGTAGTCCAATATATCTGGACAATATCAGGTTGAGGAGGTCTGTGCTACTACTGTACATAAGAACCGAGCTTGATCTGGACATCAAAACTATTTCCTATGCAATTTCAAAATACAACATACAGTAACATTATTCTGTGTGGAAATGGTTCTGTATTTCTAATCTATCATCTTCTTACAAAAATCTTAAGCAAAACAAAGCAGAGAGAGAAAGGGAATGTCTGCGTCATATTATCTGATGTAAATGTTTGCTGTTTTCCAGCAAATAGTGGAAGGCCAAGTCCGGGGTGATCTTCAGGATCTTGAATTAATGCTTTCATGTGGTACTCCTCTGAAATGCTCTGGCCGTTTCACAAGGCTTTCTTCCTTTGAACCTGTCCACAAATCAGGTCCAATATACTTTAATACTTATTCTGGTCTTGCACAAATCAAACATTCAAAAACTTCATGATAATAATCCTTTATCTTACACTTCTAATGTGCTGACCTCAGCCATTCGAAGGTATGATTCCTTTATTTTGTACAATATGATAATAATCCTTTATCTTACACTTCTAATGCCTCAGCCATTCGAAGGTACGATTCCTTTATTTTGTACAATATACGTTTCTTTTATCTTCATTGAGAGGCACTGCAGGTGGCTGGAATCATTTCAGTTGGAGGACAACCTTCAAGACACAACATGTGGGAAACAGGAAATCTGAATAATAAACCAAACCAAAACAACTCTGCAAGTTTTCAAATCAGACTGTTCTCAAAACTGCTCTAAAACATTTCAAACTTTACAGCATGCCTACTTGCATTTTGCCTTAAATTTCCATAATACAACCTCTCTTACCTACCCCTACCCCAAAAAAGCTGTCTCCATACAGCAGAGGTGGGTTGCTCCCCTTCTTCCATTAAAAAGCCTGTAAGCCTACACTTGCCAAACTATACAAGGAAATTCCACCCGCCAGAAGATGGAGCAAACAAAAAGGGCCCTGACTGCTCCAAAGGAACAAACAACAGAAGGAAACTGGACCTGGAAATGTCCCCAGTGGCAATTCTAACCAATGGAATGAGCTAGATGTGTGACCCCTATTAAACAGCTACCTTGAATTGATATTAGAAGTTTACATCAGAGCAATGATATCCAGCTGAATCACGAAATAAAGGTATAACTAGACATATTCTTTATACACAGGTAGCAATCTCTTGGACACATCATGTGAAATATTTTGGTCATTTCTTTACTTTTACAATGAGACACAAACCTTATTAGCTGCCTCCAATGCACTGATCAGGTTCTGTAGCTCCTCCTTATTCATTTCTATTGAGAACAGCTTGACATCACCATTCTCTGCCAAATCCAGATCAAGGTTTAGAAGTGGCATTTGTAGCATGGATAGTTTATCGCTTGAGAGGGCAAGCTGTACAGGAGAGTAAAACAAAACACACTTCATGTAGAGTAGCTTTACATCACATTGTTGTTGTTAAGTGCTGTCAAGTTGGGAATGACTTATAGCCATCCTCATAGGGCTTTCAAGGTAAGTGAGATATTTAAAGAGTGGTTTTACCAGTTCCACACCCCTAGTGAGTTTCCAATTCTGAGAAGGGATTTGAACACAGGTCTCCTGAGTTCTAGTCCATCACTCTACTCACTACATCATAATCTGTATCTTTACATTATGACGAGTGAGTTTCCTGTGAACCTTTAAAATGTGGTAATGTCAAAATATGCAAATGAAACATGTTATGGCAGACAAAGGAGGTTTAATTTATCTGTGTGAAGATTCAAACTGCCATCCAGTCAACTGCTTTTAGGATGAAATAAATCCCCTCCCTCATACTGTTTTCACTTTAAAATATTCTGTGATTTGTCAAAATCTTCATTAGCAGAATAGCAGTGCTAATACAACGTGTCAGAGAGTGTATGGATTTTAAGTTTGTTTTCTCACTAAGAAAAACCAAACTTTTGGAAAGACAACAGCAAGTAACCTGGTGGATTTTGAAGAAACTCACTTTAAGCAATAAACATTAGCAAATGCTCAGGGTTAAAATTATTACACATATATGATGAAGCAGAAGGAAGCTTTGCAATAAGTATTTTTCACTCCGTCTTGTGCACACATATTCAGGAGTACGTCTTGCAAATGGAACTCTGTCAGACTTCTAATTAAATGTGTCCCTACAGCTCTATGGTTCTAGATGCTTGAGCTGTTCAGCTTAATCTCTTAATGAGCAAGAGCAAACAACAGAAAGCAAACAGAGATCCAAAACTACTCTCAGAAATTAAAAGCAAACCTTTCCAAAACTATACTTACAATAACAGATGAGAAACGAGAAATACAATCTTAGAAGTGCTTCTGTAAACCTGCAGGGGGCAGGGGTGGGGAGTGAATTGGAGAACTACAAACCAGCTAGGTTTACACATCAAGCTTTGGTGGTGGAAGAGAAAGTGAGTTTCTCTTCGGAAAATTAAATGTCACAAATAGCTACAGATAAAAGGTATGCCATTTCTCACTTAGCTGCCTCTTGACATTTTTGTGTTCAATAAATAATGTTTAAGACCTCTGCTATTTAAACGGTATAAATGAAAACTAGCAAAAACCCCTTAGAAGAGTGGGAGCATAATTACTCTCCTTAGCAAACATGTAGTGTTATAGTCAGATGTTCTGGAGATAAACGATTCTCACTAATGTGACAGAATAACAGGGTTGCAGCTATAACAGGGATACTTTTCAACAGCTATGAATCAAATGAAAGAACTAAAGATGGGCATGAACCACATTGCAATGGTTCAGCCAAGTTTGGTACTTCACCTGGACAGGTGTTATGCTGGTGCGGCACACTCCCCTCTCCTGCCTCCTCTGCACGTTTGCCCATTCCCTGGGTAACACACGCTTCCCTCCCCGCTTCTCCAGCATGACTGCTCACTCACAGATTGCAGCTCATGTTTTTCTCCTCTGCCTCCTCTGGCAGCTACCAACTCAGATGAGGAGGCAGGGCAGGGCAGCTGGAGGAAGCAAAGCACACACTGCAATTTGTGAGTGAACAGTTGTGATGGGGAAGCAGGAAGGAAATGGGCAATTGTGCAGAGAGGGGAGTGCATAGCACCCTCATAACCCCTGTGCAAGTGCAGGACTGAACTTGGCCGAGCCGCTGAATTGCATTTTGCACCCATCTCTAACAAGAAGTAATGGCTGTAGCAGCATGTTTTTAACTTTCTTTTTTAAGAGAAAAAGATACATGCAGAAAACATGCTGTAAACCAATCCAGTTCAAGAGTGAAAAGACAACTATGTGGTATCACAAACTGTATATGTCTTACATAGCCCTCTGCCTTCCTGTATACCTTCGCAGTCAGAGGAGATAGCAAACTTTCAGGGTTAATATCATGATTATAATGACAAGTGGACACTGGAACAGTTTTGTAAATTAGGGTCTCTTTACACTGAAGATTATAAATCTTTCTATGTTTAATTTATTTATAATTAATTTGTTTATTATTTCAGCTCGTATACCACCCCATAATTCATGGTTTACTACACATTAATTCTTAATAAAATGTTATAATATTTATCATCCATGTGCTTATTATCACAAGGAGTTCTTTCTTGTGCATGCTATTTACTATATCTTTTTATAGACAATGAATGTATTCTTTCCAACTGAATGGGAGCCCTCCTTCACCCTCTCTCTTGCTCTTCCCCCCCCCCACTTAAAACCAGTAAATGCCAACTTAATAATATCATGACTGTTAGGATAGCAACACAAACCATGGCTTTTCTTCCACAACTATATCACTGGAGAAGCATATCAAAATTTAAGGTATCAAGATCAGACACACTGAAGTGAGTATTCTGGAAAGTTTGAACTGATTTTTTCCCAATGTCATATTTTCAACTAGTATCCAATTTTTCCATTTTGACTTACTCTCTTTAGCAAACTACAATGAAAGGAATACACTATAACACATTAGGAGTATTTAATAATAAATGTAATGTAAAAGTATGTCATGTCAATTTTATATGCCATTTACATTTCTCAGAGGTGTTTTTCCACAGCCCAAAGCATTGGAAGATACTGTACACACTTAACATGGGGGTAGGATCAGCACAATTTTCAGTGTGACTCTGGCCAAAATCAAGCAATATACTTCCATATTCAACAGTGTTACATATGCACCAATGCAGGATTTTTATCCCTCATCCTTCTTTCTGACCCTCTGTGATGCCAAAAATGAACTCCCGAGGGTTCCCAGCCCTCCGGAACAAGTTTTTAACATACGAGTCGGATGAAAGCTGAAGGAAGGAAGGATTGCCAACTGAAACAGAAGTAGAATCCTATGAAATGCATCACTGAATCCTAGTTTTAGGCTGGAATAAGCCCCACTGAATCCACTATGAAGCCAGTAACACCATAAGATCTCTATTCTTTTAAAGGTTCTCTATATGGAGAAAATGCTTTTGGTGTCCCTAATTTACCAAGGAACAACACAGGATTTGAATGGAATTTGCTGAGGGACAGTTTGTGATCAGGGTAGGGCGGGGGGGGGGGCCACCCAGAAACTGGGAAAGGAGACTCAGGCCAGGAGCAGCAGTTAGGAAAGTCCCAAATTATGCTTTTAGGCAGATAAAGCAGGCCTCCAAGTGCAGCCACAATGGGGCAGCAATTTTTCAACAGGAGAGGACAGGATGTTCTCTTCAGCAAACAGGAAGGAAATAGAACAAAAAGAATTTATTGGGAGACCAGTGGAACGGATCTTGCTCGAAGCCATCCCATCCTATCCCATGAAACTGAGTGCCAGGGAAAACAACAAAAAAAATCTGCACCTAGCAATATGGAGCTAGAAGGGAGAAATATTGCAAGGAAGGAACAACATCCCAAGCCCTTGAAGAAGGATTGCAAATTCTTTTTACTCTACACCGAACTCCAGGCAGAAAAGGATTTTGTAAAATAGAAACAACGGCTGACCACAACCATTGCAGTTCATGAGTTGAGGAAAACACTGTGACTGAGCTGTGGGAATTGTTGAGGTCCATGTGGTTTTATCAGAGGCATCTATAGGGAAGCATTTGAGGAGAGGAAAATCAAGATAAAGTTATTGCAATATAGGATAAAATGAAGCCTGTCATGGTGGATGCTCTCTACAAAAAGATTTTGCACTCCAGTAACCAGCCTGCGAAGGCTCAGGCTGAGCCCATGAGGATGGTAGAGCGAATTTTAACAACTAGATTAGACATATACCTCTCAGAAGTGCTACCCCAACTGGATGGAGGAAAGCCTTTTTATTCAGATCTTACAGAGAATTTTAAAAGCCATAGCCCATTAAAGCAAGAGGCTCAAACATTTTTACGGAGCAGTGTCAACGATTGTCCCCAGGAGAAGGGAATGGTAAACCATTTCTGCATATTCTCTACCTGGGAAACCATGAAACAGATCACCATAAGTCAAAATTGACTTGACAGCACGTGACTATTAAGTAAGAAGGGAAACGTTTCATCAACAACCGTCCACTTCTATGAAGGCACTGTGTCTTGCTCTCTTCTGCATGTTCTAGCCTTTGTCTCCATCCTCACTGTTCTCTTCCACCACTTGGCTCACTTTTATTCAATATCTGTGTTGACCTAAAATGGGTCCCCAGATGCGGCTGTATGTCAGCTTCCAGAAGTCAGACATTCTGGGGGGGCAGGTTTGAGAACCACCAACTTAGACTGAAAGAGTGGTTTGCACATGGGTTTTAGCTTTTTAAAATTCTGTACAAACAATTTCAATTATCTAGAAGCAAACACATAAATAATAATGATCAAATAACTCTCTCTTTGCCACAGAAGCAGGGTAGAAATGAAATAGATGAGTGGTGGAGATCCAATATACTCAAAGCCCAGCAAAATGTTTTCGCCTTTTGGAAAGGAAAGAAGTCCCCTTTCAACACTACTTACTCATGTCTAGTTAGTTTCCACCCAAGATCAGAACTGGTTTTGCACCAATACAGAACTTTCAGCTTCACCCAGCCATTACAAGCAAGACAAAGAATGTAGTGCCTGACTCCAGTGCTTGGTCCAAAACCAGTTTAGTTTCCAGGTGCCAATGAGAACAAAAGAATATCCACCAACTGCTGCATAATCTGGCCAGCCAGGTGGAAGAATGAAGTTCCTTTAGTTTTTCTTCACTGTACTTTGCCTGAATGCTTCTGTTTGCCCTTTACACATTGGTCAGCCAATGTTTATGTACCAAATATATTCGCGAAGGCTTTGCACCCTGTGCATCTGTCTAGGACATTAAGAATGAATATATAGATCTAACCTTCAGCTGCCAGTCAAAATCCAAGAGCTGTGCAGAACAGATGGCATTTGTTTTTTCAACCAGGGCACGCCTGATATCGTGTCTTCTGGCTTTCAAGCAAGTCATTGCTGCTTTTTGTTGGTCAGAACTCAGCTCACTCAACTGCTGAAGAGCCTAAAAGACACACCATATTTATTTCACTTAAAAATGGCTACATTTATAGAAGATGATACATTCACAAACAGGTTCAGCACATTTCAAGGTCAGCATCAAGCCCTTCGCCTTCATGGGAAAACAATACCATTCCGGACTTGATTATAGATGAGTACCTCAGCCCTAGGGTGAGAAGTAATCTTTCTTAACTCTGTGGGGTGGTTTCTCAATGCAGCAGCACACAAGACTTGGGGAGTGGCTCCATCCTCCTCCAAGTGCCAGTTCTACAGTTTGCTAGGTCTGGAGGTGGATGTCTGGGACCAACCACCTTCTCTATGGCTCTCCTTTCTTGAGCTAGCTGAACTGGTCTCAGGGATTATGCTGGGGAACTTCAATGTCCATGCTGAGGCCCCTTTGTCAGGAGTGGCTCGAGATTTCATGTCTTCCATGATGACCATTGGTCTGTCTGGCTCCACTCAGGTAGCAGAGCACACGGTGGACTCAGCTTTCTCTTCTGGAGGGACAATGGTGATCTGTATGGACTCTGTGTAGTCCAGTTCTCCTGGACAGAACACTGCCTGGTGACATTTAGGCACAATATAACTCATTTAAAACCCTTGAATCCAAGTGATTTTGTGATCGCTCTTGAGGATCTTCCTGTCAAAGCCTTGACATCTGAAATTTCATTTGTGGACACAATGGCTTCTTGGAGATGAGAATCAAAGTGTGTGTTGCATCCTTGTCCCTCCTGACTCAGTAAAGGCGAGAACTGGCCAAGTGGGTAAGGGAAAGGGTGGATATCTCTTTACCGTAATGCAGGATTCCAGCCTGCATTAAAGAAAAGAAGGGTAGCAAAACTTTCATTCATAAAGTTCTTTCCAACCCCCACTGTGGTAGATTACTACTGGCCAGTCTCCAATATTCAATTCTGGGATAAGGTACTGAACTATGTTTCTCTATTGGATTAGGTATGAGATGTATTTTCTAGATCAGACCTGGTTATTTAAATTTGGGGATTCAGTGTCACCAATAGGCTCATGAGATATTACTTAACTCTCCTTTCCACCTAACTCCAAGGAAACTATTTTGGTTCTAAATCAGTATCTGATTTCAGTAATAGACTGGATGAAGAGAAACCAACCGAAGCTTCATCCAGTCAAGACAGAGGCCATCATCTGTCAAAAAGGATTCAAACATGGATATCCAGACTTCAGGATGCATCCAAGAGAACACCCCCGAAAACTCAGGTTGATAGCTGAGGTGTTCTCTTGGATGCAAACCCAACTCTGGATGACCACGTTTCAACAAAAGCCAGAATGATGTTTGTACAGCTAAACCTTATGTGCCTATTCCTTGAAATGTCTAACGTCTCTACGGCAAGAAATGCCTTAGCTATATCTCATCTGGATTACTGTATCACCTGTTACATTGGGGCAACAATGGCAGAAACAATATGAATATTAATTGTACTAAGGATACTGGTTTCTTACTGTTAATGACCTTTAAGATCCCTGTTCCTTTCTAGGAGGTTTTGTAAGCAGCCACAATGGTAGGTGAATTACCTCAGGCAATAGATGAGGACAAGAATAACATGGTAATGAGTTAAGACTCTCTGCTTAGGCCCTTTGAAGCTTTTTACCATGGATCTGTTATGGAGGAAAATATACCTGGGAGATACAATACAGTATAATTATTGTCATGTTCATACTTGGAAGTGCCTTTTTAAAACTGTATGTTATCCCAATTCATAACTAAACATTGGTTTTATATTTTATTTTTACTATTTATACTATAGAAAAGGAACTGAAAATATAAACTACAAGTTGCATACTGAATTGTTTTAATTGGAAGTTATACACTGAATCTTGCAATGGATGTATGATGAGGAAGTGAAAACCCATGTGTAACTTTTGTGATAACGGTTTTTCCTGTTACACAAATTGTTTTGGATAAGAACAGCAGGATCAAGACTTTCCTTACAAAATCACGTCCGATAAGGATTCATACCTCTTCATCGGAAAGATCTTTGCCAACTGCACTCTTGAAATATGCAGCACTTTGCTCTAGCACCTTCATCCACTCTGCCAAATTCCAAACAGTGTTATAGTCTTGATAGCGAGGGTATGCACGGCCACATATGCCATCGACTACTTTGTGAAAGAACTGTGGAAAACATAATGTAAAGAAAGCTTTAAGGGACAGCTGGTTCCATCCACTCATGACACTATTTATTGCTGAGTCTTCGTTTAGTATCCTTATAGAAGAATATTATGACAGCTTGCTAACATTAGATTTTATGCATTTGCCATCACAAGCACCAAACATGATCATAACACGATTCCTACTAAATATCTGATCACTTAAAACCAATAGCTGAAACATTATGCACAAAAAGAAAATAACTGAAAAGGAAAAAAAGCTATTACTGTACAGACTTCTGGCATGTCTCCTTCGTTGTTAAAAGAAAAAACCAAATCATACCCACAGGGTTGGGTCAGAATCACCAGTCCTCAAACAACTGCTGTGTCCAGGCGTTGGGTGCCCGTTTCAGTTCTGGCTGCCCACATACTCGACCCAGAAAATGCTCACATTAAAATATAACAGTCCTCAAGGTGCCACATGGTTTTTGTCTCCCCACCCTGCCCACTTTCCTTTGGATTTTGCCTGATTAACAGGACAGGAATCGGAAGCAACCAAGTCATTGCTGCTTTTTGTTGGTCAGAACTCAGCTCACTCAACTGCTGAAGAGCCTAAAAGACACACCATATTTATTTCACTTAAAAATGGCTACATTTATAGAAGATGATACATTCACAAACAGGTTCAGCACATTTCAAGGTCAGCATCAAGCCCTTCGCCTTCATGGGAAAACAATACCATTCCGGACTTGATTATAGATGAGTACCTCAGCCCTAGGGTGAGAAGTAATCTTTCTTAACTCTGTGGGGTGGTTTCTCAATGCAGCAGCACACAAGACTTGGGGAGTGGCTCCATCCTCCTCCAAGTGCCAGTTCTACAGTTTGCTAGGTCTGGAGGTGGATGTCTGGGACCAACCACCTTCTCTATGGCTCTCCTTTCTTGAGCTAGCTGAACTGGTCTCAGGGATTATGCTGGGGAATTTCAATGTCCATGCTGAGGCCCCTTTGTCAGGAGTGGCTCGAGATTTCATGTCTTCCATGATGACCATTGGTCTGTCTGGCTCCACTCAGGTAGCAGAGCACACGGTGGACTCAGCTTTCTCTTCTGGAGGGACAATGGTGATCTGTATGGACTCTGTGTAGTCCAGTTCTCCTGGACAGAACACTGCCTGGTGACATTTAGGCACAATATAACTCATTTAAAACCCTTGAATCCAAGTGATTTTGTGATCGCTCTTGAGGATCTTCCTGTCAAAGCCTTGACATCTGAAATTTCATTTGTGGACACAATGGCTTCTTGGAGATGAGAATCAAAGTGTGTGTTGCATCCTTGTCCCTCCTGACTCAGTAAAGGCGAGAACTGGCCAAGTGGGTAAGGGAAAGGGTGGATATCTCTTTACCGTAATGCAGGATTCCAGCCTGCATTAAAGAAAAGAAGGGTAGCAAAACTTTCATTCATAAAGTTCTTTCCAACCCCCACTGTGGTAGATTACTACTGGCCAGTCTCCAATATTCAATTCTGGGATAAGGTACTGAACTATGTTTCTCTATTGGATTAGGTATGAGATGTATTTTCTAGATCAGACCTGGTTATTTAAATTTGGGGATTCAGTGTCACCAATAGGCTCATGAGATATTACTTAACTCTCCTTTCCACCTAACTCCAAGGAAACTATTTTGGTTCTAAATCAGTATCTGATTTCAGTAATAGACTGGATGAAGAGAAACCAACCGAAGCTTCATCCAGTCAAGACAGAGGCCATCATCTGTCAAAAAGGATTCAAACATGGATATCCAGACTTCAGGATGCATCCAAGAGAACACCCCCGAAAACTCAGGTTGATAGCTGAGGTGTTCTCTTGGATGCAAACCCAACTCTGGATGACCACGTTTCAACAAAAGCCAGAATGATGTTTGTACAGCTAAACCTTATGTGCCTATTCCTTGAAATGTCTAACGTCTCTACGGCAAGAAATGCCTTAGCTATATCTCATCTGGATTACTGTATCACCTGTTACATTGGGGCAACAATGGCAGAAACAATATGAATATTAATTGTACTAAGGATACTGGTTTCTTACTGTTAATGACCTTTAAGATCCCTGTTCCTTTCTAGGAGGTTTTGTAAGCAGCCACAATGGTAGGTGAATTACCTCAGGCAATAGATGAGGACAAGAATAACATGGTAATGAGTTAAGACTCTCTGCTTAGGCCCTTTGAAGCTTTTTACCATGGATCTGTTATGGAGGAAAATATACCTGGGAGATACAATACAGTATAATTATTGTCATGTTCATACTTGGAAGTGCCTTTTTAAAACTGTATGTTATCCCAATTCATAACTAAACATTGGTTTTATATTTTATTTTTACTATTTATACTATAGAAAAGGAACTGAAAATATAAACTACAAGTTGCATACTGAATTGTTTTAATTGGAAGTTATACACTGAATCTTGCAATGGATGTATGATGAGGAAGTGAAAACCCATGTGTAACTTTTGTGATAACGGTTTTTCCTGTTACACAAATTGTTTTGGATAAGAACAGCAGGATCAAGACTTTCCTTACAAAATCACGTCCGATAAGGTTTCATACCTCTTCATCGGAAAGATCTTTGCCAACTGCACTCTTGAAGTATGCAGCACTTTGTTCTAGCACCTTCATCCACTCTGCCAAATTCCAAACAGTGTTATAGTCTTGATAGCGAGGGTATGCACGGCCACATATGCCATCGACTACTTTGTGAAAGAACTGTGGAAAACATAATGTAAAGAAAGCTTTAAGGGACAGCTGGTTCCATCCACTCATGACACTATTTATTGCTGAGACTTCGTTTAGTATCCTTATAGAAGAATATTATGACAGCTTGCTAACTAACATTCGATTTTATGCATTTGCCATCACAAGCACCAAACATGATCATAACACGATTCCTACTAAATATCTGATCACTTAAAACCAATAGCTGAAACATTATGCACAAAAAGAAAATAACTGAAAAGGAAAAAAAGCTATTACTGTACAGACTTCTGGCATGTCTCCTTCGTTGTTAAAAGAAAAAACCAAATCATACCCACAGGGTTGGGTCAGAATCACCAGTCCTCAAACAACTGCTGTGTCCAGGCGTTGGGTGCCCGTTTCAGTTCTGGCTGCCCACATACTCGACCCAGAAAATGCTCACATTAAAATATAACAGTCCTCAAGGTGCCACATGGTTTTTGTCTCCCCACCCTGCCCACTTTCCTTTGGATTTTGCCTGATTAACAGGACAGGAATCGGAAGAAACGCACTATGGGTTTTGTTGTTGTTTCGACTTCTATACCGTAGTTCACAATATAATTATGCAAATAGCACTTTCTTCCTGGGATGTAAAGGATGTCAGACCCAAAGGGCGGAGAGGTCGCAGGCAGGGAGTTTTTATCTGTTTCCACTTTCGGTGAAGGCTTTCTAAGCCATGGAGTCCCCTGACGCTTTCTTCCATTCATAATCTCACAGGGCACTCACCATCTCAGGGTGGGGAATGGGCTTGAGGCTTCCAGACGTCTCCATCGAGGGGGACCTGCCTCAGGCTCGGCCGAGGCGCCGGGGTAGAGCCGGGGGCTGGATTTACGCTCTCTGCGGCGTCGGCGAGAGGAACGGCCGCTTCCTCCCTAACCGATCGAGCCCAGCCGCAGGCTCCAGGGCTGAGGCGAGCAGGCCGCCCTGTGACTGCCGGGGAGGCTCCTTTGTTCGGAGTGCGGCTGGTTTCGTCTGGCTTGCCGACTGAGAGTCAGCGGCAGGGAGGCTCGCCGGAGGAGGGCGGTTTGGAAGGCGGGAGGTGGGTGTGCGGGATGATTGAATGGCAGGCGCTGCAGAGCAGGCGGAGGAGGAGCTGCTCTGAAACGGCGTCCTTTTTCAGGAGAACTGGGGAGATCGTTTCGGACGTTGGGGTCGTTGTCGAGGATGGTATTCCTGCCGGCTGAGGGTCACTGGAAGCCGGATAGAAGGAGGACGAACGCTGTGCATAATAGGATAGTTGGACGGATGATTGGAGGGTGTTTTTTGGACCTTGGCTCGGGCACTCGCCTTTTTAGTACGAGGCGCCGTGGCCGCCGCTTCTCGGACTTCGCCTCTGGCAGAGTTGCCTCAACGCCGAGGTTTCCGTTTTGTTTAGTATACATCTGCTGCACACTGTATGCCCATTTACTGTTATTTTCATTGTTAAGTATTTTGTTGTATTTATTAGGTGTCTGTTATGCCTTTATTAGGTTTTTTTTGTGTTGTTCTTCTTCGAGATCTTAAGCCTTATGTTGTAAAATTAACGGTTATGTTAGCTTAAGGATCTCTTTTCTTTAATCTAGGGACCAGGTTGGGTGGGTTTCTGTCTCTCTGTGATAGAGGAAATTAAGGCCTGGTGGTAATTGATTAGTCTGGAGAGCTCATTATGGGGGGAGGGGCACAATGGAATATCGGTGGTGATGGGGGGGGGATATGGGTCCCTTGTTGGGAGAAATGCGGCATATACTGTAAATAAAAGTACTAATAAATAATGTGGTGCTGGAGGGAATGCTGGCCATTTCGGGAGAATCCGGGCTTGCTATTTGGTTCCAATGCCGGGTTCTGACGTTCCCTCATCTGGACCCGTGCAGGGTAACCAGCTCCGTCCGGTGCCTTCCACTCGGCCCCTTTTGTTGCTGAATGCCCAGTCAGTCCAAAATAAGTCCCAACAGATTGCTGACCTGATTGTGGACAAAAGGACTGACCTGGCCTGGACAACAGAGAGCCGGTTGGGTGCTGAGGGAGAAGTAGCTGTCTCTATTGGGTTTTGCCTGCTTCATCTGGTAGCAAATACAAATGTATTTATTTATTTAAAATATTTTTTATCCTGCCTCTCTCCTTAGAAAGGAATCAAGGCAGACTACATCACTAAAAAGAAAGTATGTGAAAGCTAAAAACGCTAAGTATACAAATGTTTAAAAAGAATTAAACAAGTATTATATTAAAAATGGTAAATAAAACCAGTACTAAAACACATTTAAAACAGAGCATAACAATGTGTATTATTAATAATATACAGCTTAGCTCAGTATATTATTACCGTGTTCCCCTGAAAATAAGACAGGGTCTTATATTACTTTTTGCTCCAAAAATACATCAGGGCTTATTTTCAGCGGATTTTTTTTCATATGCAACAACCTGTATTTATTCAAATAGAGCCATGTCCTCCTCTTCTGTTTGCTGCACAATGGTGGAGGGCAGGGTTTCACTTAACTGGGGCTTAATTTTGGGGTAGGGCTTATATTACGAGCATCCTGAAAAATCATACTATGGCTTATTTTCAGGTTAGGTCTTATTTTTGGGAAAACAGGTTGACTAGCTCATGTGACTTGAGATGCTTTTTTATATTCTCCAACATCATGTCCTGTTATTCAAAACATTTTTCTTGCTTTGAAAACATTTGGATTCCAACAGTAAATGCTAATTTAATAGCTTGGGGTGCTGTGTGCAGTTCTTTCACTGGGAAATTTTTGAACATTAAGCGCTAGTAGTCAAAGAAAGGTATCATAAAATTAAGAAAATATTCTTTGTACAATAAAGTTACTACAGAAAAAACTATCTCATTTTGCACAGAAGCTTCAGCTGAGAGATACCCACACTTATATTCAGAAGCCTTCAGAGAAGGATGTTTAAAACATTAAATATTAGTTAGTTAGTTAGTTAGTTAGGCATCCTTCAGTCTCGAAAGACTATGGTAACGTGCTCTGTATGGAAGACTTGGAACAGCGTCTAGTGTGGCTGAGGAGGCCAATTCGAGAGTGCATTAAAGATTAATGTGAATTAAAATGATAGTGAAGGCAGCCATAGCCTTGAAAGTAATTTACTGGAAGGCCATCATAATTTATAACAGGGATAAGCAACTTCAACAAGTCTGGAGGCCAATTTAAACCTCTTTAACCACAACAGTCCCCACCACCACAAGCTGCCAGAAGCATTTTTAGAAATTTTTATTCCTCACCGTTACAGACTACTGTGGTGGTTAACAGCGCAGGAGAACTGGGGAGATCGTTTCGGACGTCGGGGTCGTTATCGAGGATGGTGGTATTCTGAGGGTCACTGGAAGCCTGATAGGAGGAGGACGAACGCTGTACATGAAGGTATTCCTGCCGGCTGAGGGTCACTGGAAGCCGGATAGAAGGAGGACGAACGCTGTGCATAATAGGATAGTTGGACGGATGATTGGAGGGTGTTTTTTGGACCTTGGCTCGGGCACTCGCCTTTTTAGTACGAGGCGCCGTGGCCGCCGCTTCTCGGACTTCGCCTCTGGCAGAGTTGCCTCAACGCCGAGGTTTCCGTGTGGTTTAGTATACATCTGCTGCACGCTGTATACCCATTTACTGTTATTTTCATTGTTAATTATGTTGTTGTATAGAAACTAGAAGGGAGGGGTGAGTCAGTCTACAGTAGTTCAGTCAGACAGAGAGGAAAGAAAGAGTTTGGGGTTTTGAGGCAGAGAGAGTGTGTTTAAGGAGTGATCAGAATGTGACCTGTATTCGTTGTTGTATTTATTAGGTGTCTGTTATGCCTTTATTAGATTTTTTTGTGAGTGTTGTTCTTCTTAGACATCTTAAGCCTTTTGTTGTAAAATTAACTGTTATGTTAGCTTAAGGATCTTTTTTCTTTAATTTAGGGACCAGGTTGGGTGGGTTTCTCTTTCTCTCTCTCTTTGTGGTGGGGGAAATTAAGGCCTGATGGTAATTGATTATTATTAGGTGTCTGTTATGCCTTTATTAGATTTTTTTGTGAGTGTTGTTCTTCTTAGACATCTTAAGCCTTTTGTTGTAAAATTAACTGTTATGTTAGCTTAAGGATCTTTTTTCTTTAATTTAGGGACCAGGTTGGGTGGGTTTCTCTTTCTCTCTCTCTTTGTGGTGGGGGAAATTAAGGCCTGATGGTAATTGATTAGCCTGGAGAGCTCATTACGGGGGGGAAGGGGCACAATGCAGTATCGGTGGTGATGGAGAGGGGAGGAT